TAATATACTCTTTAATTCTACTTCCTCTAGACTTTTTCAGTGCGTCGCTATACTATGTGCTTTTGTAATAAGTGAATTCGGATCAATGCATGTTAAGCTTAGTTAGAGGGATGGAGATTTACTATAGTATTATGAGACTGTTACTTTAGCCCTTCGTAAGATTTCGTGTCTGTTTCGACACAGTTGCACATTGTAAAAACTAAGTAGGATTTAGCAAGTTGAATAATAATTCGGTACTGTTCGATACGCTAAAATCGCCTTATCTAGCCAGCTGCAACTCTGTACACTGTTAAACGCCAAGTATGAAGTACAAGTAAATGTAATAACTTAGGCTTGATAGCTACTCCACTAATCTGTTAATATGCAGTGAAATCATCAAATAGACTGTTCACTTGACAGTTAGCAAAGAAACAATTTTCATCTATTTCTAATATGCCGTTGAATCATCTGATATCCATCATTTCTATGATCAACAACTGCAGTATTTACATATCTAATTTATGGATATTAAATAACTTAGGCTTTTATGCACCTAATTACCTCCAGTATTACAACAGTATTCCCTATTCATTTGATGTGTGTACGGTAAACAAGGCATTCATACATTATCCCACAAATGCCAAGGTTTCTGGTGTCACATGTGTTAATAAGAGTTGCTTCCTCGGTTTCAATACAAATGACCTTCTAAAATATCTCTAGTCGTTGAACCCTTCTTGTAGCCTAGTTCCAGATTCTTTGCCTAGCCTTATTCTTAAAAAATGTGCAGATATCCTGTGTTATCCTCTCATGGACATATTTAGTGAATCTTTTTCCAGAAATGTTGTGCCAGCCGTTTGGAAGGACTTTAAAATTGTACCTATACCTAAGTCGTTTAATGGAACATGCTTTAAATTTAGACCTATTGCTATTACCTCTCCTTTTCTAAAAGCTATGGAAAAATTACTCTTACTTAATCTTCAACCTTCACTTAAAGCCTTTAACGATCTCAAATAATTCGCCTATAAACACAGTAGAAGTACTTTAGATGCAGCTGCAGTCTTGCATCACAACATTTTCTCCATTATAGTCGTCCACTACCGATTGTATTTTTGTTTGACGAACTTAATGTACATATGCATACGAAATGAAATATGTCAAGTGCGTGGACTAACTATTCCAGTGTCTTTTAATTCGCAGCTACACTGTACAAAGATGAACAGCTCTCTATCAGGAGTCAGAAAATGCTCTTAAACTAAATCCTTCGAAATGTCACTGTTAATTTCAGTTTCCGATGTAAGAGAAAGTCAGGCGAAGCTGTTAATTCCTATGACCGTTATGAAATTGATGACAGTGATATAGAAACCAAGTCTGACTTTAAGTATCTCGGACTAATTCATCAAACGGCGTATTAGCCCTTAATGTATACCACATGAAGGCATAATGTTTATGATCTAGGTATGCAACTGTAGGTGAGCGCTTGTACGGTACATTCATTATTTATAAAACTAACTCGTATGTAAGAACTACGATTTGACCAGTTATTCAACGTTTAATATATTTAGACACAATTAACCTACGCTGCTTACTTCTATGACGCATTACGTAAACCTACCTTAATATAGTTTCCGCTGAAGGTAATCTCCTATAGCTACTGCCTTAGTGAGCAGATTAACCTTATCTTTGAATTGCAAAGTAAATGTGGAAATTCTGAGAACTTTCTTGGTAAAAAATTGTCTCTTACTCGAATAAAGTAAATATACCCTAGTCTCCTCAAAAGCGTTTAGAGGTATTCATCCTATCGCCTCACTATTTGCTGTCACTTAAAAAGTAAAAATAAATTTACCGAAGGCAGTGTGCTTGTGGTTTCTAGATATCATAATGCACCATGAGGAAAAAGCTTTGTCCATAGGGTTATAGCAATTAGATGCGCGATATAAATCCGAAACACAACGACTACGATTCTCAATCACAGAACATTCTACTTTGCTACCTAATCGTCTCAATAGATGCTTCGCCAAGAAACAGAAGACAATTGGTTCAAGGAAAATTTATTTAAAGTCTTCTTAAAAATCATGGGCAACCGTGTTTATAGCCACGGAGAAATCACAAGCATCCGAAAACTAGGAATTTCGTTATTTGAACTGAAACAAGCAATTTGTGACCAGCCAATTTTTCCCCCGAATAATCAGCTTCTCAGCTTGTTGTAACTTCGAAAAAACCACCGAGTGTAGACCAAAATCCGAAACGTAATTCTTGCTAGTTAAATTTTTACCGAATACTCATCAGATCATCGTATGTTATCCGCTTTTCAAATCGTTTTGAAACAAATAAAACGTTTGTTAACACCGCGTTTACTACAGGCAGTCCCAGTTCGTGCGTTTGGATTTAGTACACTAGGCATTAACAATCGTTTAGGGATTTCCTATTGCTTCCTAATTTTGCTTCCAAAAGTACATACAAACACCACACATTCATACTTCACAAGTGGCTCATCCTTGCTTGATTTTGATTCTCTCACAATATATCTGATTTTTTAGCTGACAACAGACACCTTGTCGAAAAGCTTCAAAGCTTTTTAAACTTCAAACCAGGTTCTAAATTCTCTAGGTTTAATTAGTTCTTCGAAAACTTTGCTAATATCAACCCTGATCGTGCTCTCTTCACCAGACTCCCTCGTAGATTGTTGCATGCTGTAAACATGAATGTGAAAGACATTTTTTTCCAGATTCCTACATATTAAGTAACCAATTGAGCCAGCAACAATAACGGCAACCAAAAATGAACTGGAAACAATGGCTTCTGCCTCCCAAACATGTTCACGTCCATAATCTTCAGAATTTCTACACAGTACTAATTCATTAATAGCTGAAAAACAACTAAAACACTGAAACTATGCATGAATGCAACGTATGAAACAATAACAATAGAACGAATGCACTGACCTGGTGGTAGAAAGTTTCGAAACCAACGATATAACTAATTTTAACAGAAACGGAAACAATAATGAAGTAAAACGCAACATTTGTGAACAATGTGCATCAAGATAAGTTGTGAATAACTGCTGGATAAACGGGAAAACCAATGTGAAAACGAACAGCTACGGAACTGCAACCCAACATGGCCGACTAACATGGATGGAAATGACCTTTGAGCGACTCACTCCACCAATGACCTTGTACGTGATGTTTAATTTCTGCCAAACTATTTAGAGGGATTTGGTGTCTTATTGATTTGCACCCTTGGCAAGCTGGACACGTCCTAGCCTAATGCTTTATTTTATTTATGACAGACCAATAAGACTGAGTGAAGATGAGCTCGGTGGTAGTTCGAATACCTGGGTGGGACGAGCCATGTAACGTATTGAAGACGTTACGGCGACAACTTTTAGGGACTATAGGGTCAGCAATACTGGCTAAAACGTCTCAAACAGTAGTGTCCTTGCCTGTGCCTGATAGTTTCTCGAATAATTTCAGAGTTGCTGTGGACAACTCGTATTGAAGCTCGGTACCCCTTTTTGAAGACAAGTCAGTTTCACAAAGTCTATGCTACCCATTTGAACAAATGAACAGATGCGAGCTCTCATTTTAACCAGCCGACTTAAACCGTGATGGGCAGCATCTAGTGTTGAACGATTAAAATTGTAGACTAATAAATCTTCGGGAATTATTCACCGCTATGTGCTAATAGATTAGGGATCTCTTCAAAGTTCACTAATAAATGAATGAGCAATTATATGATCCTAACCAAATGTATCATGCAATATTTGCATGGCACTTTCGTAGCCGAGGTCCGAAGGTTGGTCCACACAAGCTTCAATAGCCTTTCACGCCTTTTCCCAACAAAAATGCAAAAGGTACGTCAGTATTTGTCCATTATCGCATAATTTATTCTCGACAGTACTTCCAAATTAATTAGTAAACATTCTGTATTGATTTGAGGTGCCATCAAAATACCTTCTGTCAACCCTAGGAATGCAGAAATAATTAGCAATAGAGCTCATCATTTTAATATCTCTTGTACCATCATCCTTTTTGTTAGATCCACTGGTCAGTTCGGAATTGAGCTGTCTCAATCACTCCTTAAGTCCTAATTATCTTGCCAGTTCATCTTTAATCAGTGAATTAGATGAGAGATACCTATCAGAACTACAGAATTACGTGAATCATGCGAACAAAAGTCAGTTCTCAGTTCAGTACGAACGCCACGAGCTAGGGAGTGAGATAAAATCAAATCGTCCGGCAAAAGTCTACCTTTATGTCTTATATTTAAACTCGTCAAGAAGTGTACTTAGATTCAAGTTCATCAGTCACTGTTTCCGATCGGCGGACACAAGAACAGCTAAAAATAGTAAAGCACTCTCGAAAGAAATTTTTCAGCCGGCCAAAGCAAATTGAAGAACTTTATTTTACAGATGACGAATGAATAACTTTCAACAAGTATACTCACTCTCTGTATTCAACCCAAAACAAAACCAAACTGACTCAGATAGATTTGTGTTAAAACAAAATTCTTGAAGATCGCGGGAGATCTATTGTTCTATTTAACTAAATGCATCAAGTAATTATAGTACAAACCATTCATTTTAGGGTTAGCCGGCATTCAAATATCAAGAGCACAATGGATGAACACGAAATGGCTCTCAGTTAACAAAAACTACAAATGGTTTAATCCACACTAAAATGTAAATTTGTATGTAAAGTAAGACTTAACAGTTTGTGGAGGACAAAATGGTCCAAGGTCAACTGAACTCATTATTTTCTTTGATCGTCTACACTGACGGTAATAACAGATTGGGTTAGCTGGCGATTGGTTGGGTCTTATGCACACCAACTTTGATAGAGTTAGTGGATATTTAGATACTGAGGCTACACCATATTTTTAAGCAAGAAAGCCATTTCAATGTGTGGAAGAGTAGATAGCTAGAAATCGGGTGATTTAAACTGATTCAGCTTCCTGAGTTGAGTCAGACCACGCAGATGGTTGGTAGGGTCGATACCAGAAGAGCGAAACAGCCATCCACTGCCTATATTACTTCAGTCTGGCTAGCAACTACTGTAACGACAGAAGACAATGGCCAGGCAACAGATTTTTTATTAAGGAAATCAAGAGATATTTATATATTTTCATTTACATTGTTATTCGTTATTATTAGCAGAGAAACAGAATCTTCTGATTGGTTGTTTTCTTGCTATCATCTTTTTGTGGCCATTTCTTCGAAGGTTAGACCATATATCTGCAAACTGTACCCACCCAAGCAAAATCTACTGTGATTGGTTGTTGATTTGGTCTTTGTTCTTTTCTCATGACCAAGACTTAGGATGTAAATTGCTATCTACCAGCTTGGCTAGCAGACAGTTCTCACCACACTGCTACTGGATGATGTGAGTAGCAACCATCTACTCATCTTAGTCAACCATTAGTATGCCATTTCGTGAATAGCCTGGTTCGCATGACAGGAAGACAAAGGCTGAATAGGTTGAATTGATATTAAGATAAATTAATCGGTTGTTATGCATAACTACAGTCTAGATCCATATATAGTCTGCCAGTCAGAATTTAAACTGTACAAATATTGATTTCCTATACGTTTGTCTCAAAACCAACCAGTCAAACTACAGCACACTAATAGGCGCGTGGGCGTTGATCAGATAATAGCCAATCAGATCTCGACACATTGCTTGCCACTGATTGATTGGCCCAATGTTGAAGCAGCATATCATTAGTCCAGGATGCATTTTCCGGTATGACTGTTGTAATTATATATTTTTAATTAAAGAGCCTCCCACTTACTTGTTTGGGAACACACTTTTCCAATATTAATATGTGAGTCTTCTTGAAAATACTAACTATGGTTAGAGAAAATCTGCTAAGAAATTATCAAATATGTATTATTATTAACCTTATTTTTCCGAAGATTCAGCATACATAACATCGGTAGAGATGCAGGGATTGGTGCTTTCAGTATATATATATATATATATATATATATATATATATCAAACATTCAGCCATGTCACTGAATAAAATAATAAATTGCAAACATTAAATGCAGTCGGTAACACCCACATAGACCAACAACTTGTATCGTTAATAAACAACCTCAACGAACAAAAACAGAATCAAAGTCAATATTAAAATATTCTCTTTTTTATTCCGAAATAATAAATGCATTCAATACATTTAATATTAAGTCAATATCACCAAGATGTTAGTAATGAATCTACCAACGAGAGACATTTGAAAAAAAAAAAGAAACAATAAATAATCTGTGATAGCAGATAAGTAAATAAGTAAGTTGGTTAGTTAGTTAGTTAGTAAGTAGATCACCTGAAATAAAAATGAAATATGCAATGAAATACAATAAGTATCAAAGAAACAATGTTCTACATTGTTTAAATATAAGGAAAAAAAATTGCACATACATTTCGCAACTGTAGTGTTGATTATACAAATAAATAAATAATATAACTGTTGAAAATAGTTATAGGAGACAATCTACTTTATTCACAAGTGTATAACGGTCTATTTATTCAGAGGAATGTATGCATTCACCAGATATTGAATAAATGAATAAGAAATAAGAAAATGAACTACATATACTACTTAAACAATTTATTTGTCGATATGAAGGTCAGCAGCAAAAAAAAACAAACAAAAAAAACAAGTGGACAGTTAAAACAAAGATATTATTATGATTATTATTCTGAAGGAAAAACATATTATCTTTTCTTTTTATCTCATAATAACTGTTTAGAATCTGATTTACCCCGGCCAGATTTTGTTTTACGTCTCCACAAGGTGGCAAATGGTCTGACAAAAGAATAATTTCTTGGGATACTACTGGTTTTTGAAAAATCACTACCCTCTGTGTTAGAGGATTGTAGCATTGAATCTTTAGAGCAGAAAGCTGTAAAGAAAATACAAAGAACAATAATAAACACGTTAATATCTGTGTCATCAAAAGCGTCCATTAAAATTTCCAAAAGAATATTCTTTTCGATAACTCCTCCATCAGGTTCTACAGTTATATATACATAATAGTGAATGAATTGGTGTCATTACTAACATTAATGTTGTTTCAATAACATCGAATCAATAATAATATCAATACATAGGTCGTACAAATAGGTGTACTTACCGTCGGATTTCCCAACATCACCCTGAGTGGTTAAGTAAAGGAAAAACAAGATCCATTCATAGCACTATTTTATATCATCTTGTGGATACAGAACACTAGACTGGTGTTAAAGAGGCTTTTAAAGTCATTTACCGCATACAAACTGACCTTAAGAGTTTGTCTACCACATATAGCTGAGGCCGTTGGGATCCACATAAGAAACCTAACTTATGTATCTAAAAGAAGCTGGTTCAGGCACTATCCTTACCCCACTGGTCATCAAGGTTTTAATGATCCTTAATTTGTTGTATAGACTTCTTTAAATTTATTCGCTATTCTATTAAGCATTACATTTTTATGCTTATTATAACTTATACATCTTTCTTGAACTGTAATTTCATTTATCATACTTAAAAAATCGATATTATTTAAAAAACACCAATATTTTTATTTGGCACTCACAAGTCAGCAAGGCGTGTCTGCGACCCCGAAGGAACTCATGTCTCTTCTGAGATTCGAACCGGTGTCACCCAGTGCTGCAGTCAGAGACGTTACCACTGAGCTATTCAGGCTCGCGACTGACCTCCTGTAGGACTGTATTGGATATTTTTATTTGCACACTAGTCAGTAACTAGTGTAATGTGTCTAGTCCTTATATATATATATATATATATATATATATATATATATATTGGTATTGACAACTATTTTAGAATATTCTATCTATATATAAACATATATATAATTTAGAAAATCAAAACAAATAATTCAGCGAAGAGACGACGAATTTATCATCAAGCTGTACAATCGTATATATATGGTTTTTAAGAAGTTTTTGCGGTGAGGGAATTGAATCATAGGTGTGAATGCATAAAATAATAATAATAACATGAAATGCAACTAACACTAAAATGTTTGTGATTATAATCGTAGTTAAATGTCAAGTGGCAAAGCAAATTAATGTCATGTATATAATTTTAGAACCAGAAGAGGTAATTATCGAAAAGGATATTCTTTGCACAATTTTTTTGTTTTTTCTAGATGTCTGAATGAATATTTTCGCTACAATCGATTATAGTTCGATAACATCAACATAACAATACACTGAATATCGCCAAAATTAGGAAATATAATATGTAAATTCATGAATTTATAGTCCCCACTGAAACAACCAGTACTTTGAGTGCGAAAGAAGCAAGTGCAGCCACTACTAATGCCCTGGCCTTCAATTCAGTGGAGACTATAAATTCATGAATTTATATTATTATCTTCCCTAATTTCTCTGATATTCCCTGAATTGTTATGTAGACGTTGTCGAACTGTAATCCATTGATATTATTATTATCGATTCGATGTTTTCGAAACAACATTAATGTTGTTAATGACACTTATTCATTCACTATTATGTATATATAACTGCAGAACCTGATAAAGGAGTTATCTTAAAGAATATTCTTTGTTCAGAAACCATTCTTTTGAAAATAATACCTAAGTCCTAGTGAAATCGAAACATTAGTGATAAACATCTAAAGCAAACTGTATTCATCACCACCACTATCTGTTGTTATTGGTAAGAAATCTAAAGATTTTCAACCATATACTATGCGTACAGTGTGAACGTTAAAGTAAAACACAACCATTTAGGCAATGTCAAGGTCTTTTAATCATTAGAGGTCATTATTTACTTGAAATATAACTGCATGCATACGCATATTGCATGCAATTATAGTAAGCAAAATAAAAACAGACACATCTGTAAACATAGCGTGTTCCACTGTATTATTGACGTTCACATAATTTTACTGGATAACAGAACGACTGTAGATACATTTCTGTGATGTTATACAGAATGGAATTTCCATATTATAAATAACACCAAAACATATGACTACAAAACATCTACAGTTTGACCTAATCAATATTATTCCCTCACTCTCTCTCGGATTAATGCAAAATACGAAAGACGAAATATGTTGTAACGTTTGTTTTTTCAAAATCCACGCAAGTCAAAGTAATGTCATCCAAGGACATATTTGATTGAAAAACAAAACAAAAACAAGAAGTAATTTAAGGTGTATGCGTTGATAAAAGAGGATATTTTAGCAGTGCAAACAGTTTAATAAGGCTGCCTATATCAGTCAATAAGCAACCGAAAGGTGACTGCCACAGGCACACTCGATTGTATAAGCTTTGGGTGTTGACAGTACACTATGTATATTTACTTAGGAAAAATACTTTACCCTATTCAGGTAGACAGTTACCTGGAGTTCTAGTGAGAAGTCGTGACCAGTAAGGTGCAGCAGTTCGAGTGTGAGGACAAATACTCACCGAAGACATTGGCTAGTGGTCGCGCTATGTCGTGAATTGGCAGAAGTTAGAATTCATAGGTCAGTGGTTTAATGGTCAACGACCTCGCCTTGCAACCAGAAGGTCCTGGGTTTGAATTCCGGTGGATGAGCAGCGCTGAAGAGTCCCAAACTAGGACGAAACAACTGTCCAGTAATCCCAGGTTTTCCAATGCTTCTCTAACCAATGTCAGCTCATGATGAAATCCTGTTACCAATCAAATCCCTACAAACCAACACTTAAATACTTTATATACGTTTTGAGACAAAGTAAAACCGTATTAGTGTAGTTCTGAGTTAGGCTAGGTAGCATAAGTAGCATAAGTTGACAGTGAAAGTTTAAAAATAAAGTGGGACTCAGTAACCATGACTACCTTAATGTATCGACTGTGTCACGAGTAAATAAACTATTCAAATACGAGTGAATGTGAACTGATAGTGTACTACACAACTAAGTAAGGAGATTCACTTAAAGCGGTTAGCTACTATAATTAAAACTGTTCAATAACTACTACTACTACTACATTAAAAAATTTGACCCTGAAACTTACATAATTCATCATGTATGCAGTCAAAACTAGTTATTGAATCATTACTGGTAAGTTTGAATACACGTTTAGCTTCTGGAAAAGTTTGTTCACTTGCAGATAAGTGATCAGAATCACTTTCTTTGAATTCATTGTCATAGAATTTACTTCTATCTATTGAATACTGTATTGGATTTGTTACATCACGAGTTATTCCTTTGCCATGTTCATTACGTACATCTGTTCGTATGAGGTGACCGCTTAAGGCTTCAATACGACTCCAACGATGAATACGCTCTTGAACTTCACTTTGAAGTTGATCTAAAGCTATTCTAAGAAGTGTTAATCCAAAAAGAAAAAGACAGTAGAAAATGTCATAAAAGGTATGGCACAGCATGGCGGTAAAAGATTTTTAAACATTACATAATTAGATTTTCTATCAACAAAAGGTATATGTTAAAAGCATTAACTAGCAAGTGGGATAAACCCTATAAATAAAATAAAATACTGACTGGAGATGAAATTCAAGTAATCCCAAATATATAGGCTTTCCATATTTCGTCATTATTATCCCCCTGAGTTCTTAGTGGAACAACGGTAGATTGCTATTTCAGTCTATTTTCCGGAGTCTTTTTTAGCTGGCTTCACGATTTCCCATTAGCTTTCATCTCATCTTCACTAGATTTTGGACCACTGTCCGACTTGCCGCTTCCACTCCGGTTCTATTCAAGGGCTTGAGCGCGCGCTGTTACTCAATGGTCTTCCATTAACTGCCTAACCTATCACCAGTCTCTTCTGCATATTTGCTGGGCAATATTTTCTTGGTTGGTTCACTAACCGACAGAGTTTCTTGTTGCTGACTCTTTCTAACCAGCCATCTGATCACTAATGAGGACTGAAGGCAGCTATTGGTGAAAGTTTGCAGCCTGTTAGGAACAATTTTATTGAAACGCACACCATGTTTCTGAAGCATGTAGAAGCACTGCTTTGATATTAGTAGCCAAAATTGGGATCTTGTTCTTTGTGCTGAATGCTAGTGATCTCCACACCTAATTTCAGAATACTTAAGGCCCATCTGACTTTCCTGATCCTATAATGATTTCAACATCTCCATTCGTGCCGCCTGCAGTTGAAACGATGCTGCTAGGGGCAGATGAGTAAAAGAGGTTACTTCCTTTGGATTTCTTCAGCTGATGGTCATTGGTGCTTATTGTTGCTGGTTAGGTATCTTCATTATCCCTGTGTTCTCTATGCTCACATGAAGTTGTGTCTTCATTGTCTCTTCTGCTAACTTGTTAGTCCTCCCCCTGTAGATATTCGAGTTTATGCGGCATTAAACATAAACCATAAGCGAAGTCCAGCATACGTCTGTATTCTCACTTCACACGGTCTGTTGCATGACTCAGTTAACCACAATCCAGTGTGTCAAGAGTATCATCAGTGAAAGTAGGCAGTCTTGACTTATTCCTGCATACTTATGAAGTCAAAATAATTTGCACAACATTTAAGGTACAAGCTAAGATACGCTACATCATTCTGTCTATTTGCCATTTGGTTATCAGACAGACAGAGGGAACAACATCAAAGCTGTGTGTCCTAGAATGATGACTTTTATTTGACATTGAATTCATTTTAGTCATACTGTAAAGAACAAGACTAGTTAGGAGACATGCAATGTTCACTATAGGGCAATTACAACGAATATTAGTAAAAACTTTTACAAAATCTCCCACCCATTTCACCATTTTAAAATAATAACAGTCATTCTATTTTTCAGCGTCTGACATTTATTCATTTCACTTCAGAATTACATGCCCCACCTTGCATTTCTCCAATAAAGCCTTCCCTAGTTAAGTATAAACTAAGGTTGCTTTTTTTTAAAGATGTCAAATTACATACTATTTATATCTATCGCTATGCAAAAGGTAAAGACAGATTGAAATAACATCTTATATGCAATGAATAAGAAACAGACAGCTACTTAGAGATTAGGTCAAAGTAGTTGCGACTGACTGACTCTCAAAGTAGGACTTTTCACAGAAGTTTTTTTTTCTCCTTCACGTTCCCCAGTGGAACATAGGGCTTCAAGCTAGTGGCTTGAAGTTTCTGTAGCAGTGTTTATTTTTACAGGATGCGGTTGCTAGCCTCATGCCCAACCTTTCCTCTTCACTAGCATTATTTCTGGCTTAGCGAGGTAAAGGAGTGCGCCGGCCGGGAATCGAACCCCGGACCATGTGCATGGTGGGCGAGCGTCCTAACTGCTATGCCACCGACGCACTTTCACAGAAGTGCAGCAGTTAAAGTCAGTACACTTCATATACCACACAAAGATAGAGAAAAGAGAAGAAAAAGAACTATTATGAGCAGAAATGTCAAGGAGAAAGAATGGTAACATGGAAGAACATGAGGAATGAATAGGTTTAGAAGAATATGAAAGGTGAAAGCATTTGAGCCATTGGTTGTTAATATTTCGAGGACCCCAACTAGGTAGCCCAAAACTACCCAAGTAGCTTAAGCCAACTGTCAGTGACTCCATGGTGTGATGCCAAGTATCCGTTTGACAACGTCCAACTATTTTCTAATCTAATCCCATGTCTCCTAACATTGAGCGTCGACGATGAAGGCGATGCCTGGGAATGTGCAAAACGTGCCCTAGCCATCTTGATTGACATAGTTTCACAACCACATCAATTGGCTTTCCTTCCGCATCTAGCACTCTACGCCTAATCTGAATATTACTCTCCATATTATACCAAACAACAGAGGAGAGAGAACTCAAACATCTGCGGTCAAAGACAACTAGCCTTTTCACACCTTCCACTTCTGATGGTCATGTTTCACAGCCATAGCATAGAGAAGCACAGAGTGCTACGCAGTACACATCACCTGTGTTCGACAGCCAGATATCACGTCTGCGCCAGAGATAACCTAGGTTAAAAGTAGTCGTAATGTTACTGTGATTATCAAACTCAATAAAACTGGATTGGTGGAACTGTTGGCTTTGTACCATTCCTGTCACCTTCAATACACAACCTATTTGACAACCAGTATGCAAGTATTAATATATGTAGTAATTATCATTTGTTTTTGTTTTTGTTTTAAAGCACAAAATCATACCACATGGTGTGAGTCGACAAAAAACCTCATCTAATTAAACTTAAACTCTTATAAGAAAGAAAGAAAATAAAAAAAACGAGATCTTTAACCAATAAGACACCACATGACCGATAGATAATGCAAGATATAGGGCATCAATATAAAATCTATAAAAATACAATCAATATAATAAATAAATAGTCGGATACAGCGAAAAAGGAGGGGTGCGGTGGGGTAATCAAATAACTGATTGTCTGAAAATCGTCTCATCGATATGTAAACAAAGTGATACGCCTTTTTATTACTCTGAAAAGAATTATTATTACTTCCTTTTAATTAAGATGAGGATTTCATCTGGGATAACTGAGTGGCTGATTGAATATGATATTTCATGATTATAAAAGGCTGTGCTATATACACACTTCATATACATAGTATATCGTGTTAGTAAAAGGGGATAATTTTCTTGAACAACGCGTGGATTTAGCAGATTTACACCACAACCAACAGCACTGCATACATCCTTAAGAGTTATTTTCAGAAGAGCATCTATGGTGAAGCTAAAGAAAACTGTGAAATGAGGTTGGAAACAGCAGTAACAGGACGTTGCATGCCTTCAGGTTTTTCGGGATACATCTTTCAGAATTTTGATAAATAGAGAAAGATTTTTCTCACGTAAAATCCAAAAGAAAAGTCATCTTCGAAGAATATATATATATATATTCTCAAGTATTGGTCTTTTTTAGGGATTTTGTTTGATTGGATGGAGGATTTCATCATAAGCTAACATCAATTAGATAACCACTGGAAAACCTGGGAGTATAGGACAGCTGTCTCTTTCTAGTTCGGGACTCTTCAGCAGTACTCACCCACCGAGGTTCGAACCCAGGACCTTCTGGTTATAAGGCAAGCTCGTAGAACATTAAGCCACCATATTCTTTGAAAAAAATATGTATATCCTTTGGATAAGACTTTTCTTCAAAACTGTGTGTGAAAAAAAGGTGTCTTTGAAATGTTTATCAATATATATATGGTTGAGTTCTCTGAGTTGGGTGATTTAATCGCAAAGCTCCCATTTTCTTCAAGAAAACTGGATATTCCCACAATTTCATCAAATCAAAGTACTAGCAAGAAACAATCCTCAGAAACCACAAGAAATTCATCCCACCATTCATAAAGAATGCTTCTGAAATAACGACTGTAATATTAAAACCATTCGGAATAGGTACTGCACACAAACCGAGACAATCGCTTCATTCGGCACTATACAGACTAAAAGACAAAACAGTAGCGAAAGAAGACAATATCAACATCATTTACAGAATAAATTGCATGAACTGTGACATATACACTACACCGGCCAAAGTGGTATCCGCTTCAGCTCAAATTCCGAGAACATAAACTAGGTGCCAAAAGACTAAGTATGTAATCATTTATGGCAATGCATTTAGATAACTATAGACACCAGTTTGATTTGACAAGAGTAGAAATTCTGTGGGGATACCGAAACGCCAGTAAATTCCTAGAAGCTTGGTACTCAAAAGAATCAGCAATTATCAGATAAATTATTATAGATCAAATTTATCAATAGAAAATAAGCCAAAAAGTCATATTCCAAGTCAACAGAAACGAATAATACTGATAAGAGTTAACAGCCAATCACAACCAAGGTGGTCAGAAGATACAATTATATCACTCATGCGGAAGGAATTCGGATAAGTCCACTTCATATTAAAGCTTGCACTGAAGATGCTGTCTAGAGGGGACAATGAAAGCGCCTTACAATCGAATCAACCAGCTCAGAGAAGCCAGTCATATTAAAATAACCTTTTCTAGTTAACAAATGATTGATGTGTGCTCAGAGAAAGCTACCGCTGCGATCTATAGAGTTTGAAAGATCTCCTGTAGTGATAATTATACAGACAGAACGAAGAAGATGCTTGTTTAAAAGTAACAAAAACTTTACAAAATGTACAGTAAAAAACAACAGTACATCTTCCCAAAAGGTTTAAAACAGCGCGACAAAATGTTAAAGCTTATTTTGGTTGCTGGTGACTGGCAACGAATGCAGAATGTGCATTTCGTCCTACTTATGACTCGTCATCTACACGTACCCGCACTCCTAGTGAATGATGATGTCCTCAGTGAGACAAGAACCCTGCATCCATCGTTTTAAACGCCAAGGCACTATCCACTAAGCAATCAGGATAGGATTCGAGTCTCAGTGGGGACATTATCACTCATTGGGAATGCAGATACACGCAGTTGATGAGTCTCAAATAAAATATGCTCATCCGATATTTCACTACTTTAGTCACCACTTATCAAATAACATTGATGCTAATCCTCAAACATCATCGAAGAGTCTGTACAAGGGAACCGACATGTCAACAATAATACAATCGGTTCATCATAAATCAATTAAAGTGAAATGCAAATTAACCTTAGGAAAAAACCACAAGGGTAACACTTACTTGGCAATAACTAAACGCTTTTCCAATTCATCTAAATTATCTGTATGCACTAGTCGAAGTGAACCAAAAACATTATAGCGTTTACGATTAAAACGTTTACACTAAAGAAAGAAAGAAAAAATAAAAACAACAACAGAAATCAATAAATGTACTTGTTGAGGGGAATAAGAAATGCGTTCTTTTTATTTTTTTCCTTTAAAAACCCACACGGTGTATGACAAGTAACATTTAGTAATAAAAAATCACACAACTACATTTCTTTATCGCATATCCCCAATAAAACTGATAGTCATACACACCTATTTATGTCTTATTATCGGCTGATTTTTATAAAAATCTCAAAATTTCCTTAAAACGTTGTATATAGCATAGCTGAGATAGCTACGCAGTTAACTAAGCAAACAAAATAAGGCGTATATATATCTATATATATGAGCACAAAACACAAGTTGTAGTAGACTTGTTACCATGATAACTGATACAAATAACACCTGATTGATATTGACTGTTCAGTATGCAGTTTATAAAATACAATGCGACTTAAAAATAGGAAGTCAGAACTCATCATCAGTTATAACACACAGGACTTACACAAAAATCATGTGTCCGAAATCAATTTCATCTGCTGACAAGACCAAGCAGAATGATTATTCCACAAACAATAAATCAGACTGACTGTAACAGAATAACTGATCTGAAAATTGCTCAGTGAACAACCACCTGCTTACAATTTCGATATTCAATTTGAATATTTTAACTAGTTGTGTTAACAATACCCTTGTACTCTGACCTGTGTATGTTGTCGATGTAACATTTGTATGTCTGCTTTTGAGTTTGCTTTTTTTATCCCTTCACGTTCCCAGTGGAACATAGGGCTTCAAGCTAGAGGCTTGAAGTTTCTGTAGCAGTGTTTAATTTTACAGGATGGGGTTGCTAGCCTCATGCCCAACCTTTCCTCTCTACCAACTTTATTACTGGCTAAGCGAGGTAAAGGAGTGCGTCGGCCGGGGATCGAACCCCGGACCATGTGCATGGTCGGCGAGCGTCCTAACCGCTGTGCCACCGACGCACTTGCTTATGAGTTAATCCTTATTATTATTTGTCTTTGCTTTTTGGTTGAGTCATATTCTTAGAGCTTTACTTAGCTATTGTGTGCTGCTAGTATACAGTTGATTATAATGCGTTATTTATTCCTACTGACAAGAGTAATTTGCATAAGAAAAATACTTGGACACGTCAATATATGCATTTACACAGCTTTGTTCCTCTCTGTTATTAAAAAAGTTTGGCAAGGACCCTCAGCTATACGCTGAAAGCTATTTGCTCAGAAGACGTGATCAAAGATGTACTTAAATGAAAACACAGCTACCCTGTAAAGTTCATCACTAAACACATAGTCAGGAAAGTAGAAACGAATTTTTCTGTATCTTTTAACAAGCAACCTCTCTTTATAAGCGACTAACATTCAAAGGTGATATACCAAGTGAGATAATATAACCGAACAAGTTGAGAAAATTGATTCAAAGAAAGTTTAGTGACAGTAAGCTACAGTTTATATTTTCCACACAACCCGCTGGGATTCCGAAACTGAAAGATAAAGTACTCAAGGCTAGCCACACCTCTAATTGTAGCTAGCAATTCAACTGTTGCTATGGAGCAAGCTTTATTGGCCGGAACTCTAGAAACCTAATTTTTTCTGTTCAGGAACACCTACAAGTGTGGTTAAATAAAGGTGTTGTTAAAACTGTCAGTAGTTATGTATTGGACCACCTCGTCCAAACAGGCCACCAAGCTAGCCATATTGAAGAGTCTTTCTCTGTCATCTATCGGGTATCGATAGTCCCGACATTCTGGAAACAGAATTAGATATTCTAAGAGAAATTTTCATCCAAAATGGATACCCAATAAGATTCATCGACAAAAATATCAAACCAAGAATTCGGAGAAATGAAACTTCACTTGCTCCTAAAAAGAAACTCTACATGAACTTGAATTTCAAGAGAGATTTAACAAGCGATATTCTCAAGAGAAGGATCACATCATCTCTGAGAACAACATTCTTTGCAGCAACGCTGAGTATAGTGTTCTCCAGTCGCCCACCGATCTGCAGAAGCCTCAAGGACAAGACCTCGCATCTGACCAATTCTATGTGCATATATCAGTTCACCTGCTGCTGTGGAGCCAGGTTTATCGGTCGTTCGACGCGCACCCTGTCCAAGAGGATTCAAGAACACCATCCAGCATGGTTGCGAAAAGGCAATAGTGGTGCAATAAGGACTGCGATAAATGAACACCTGGTTAACACTGATTATTCTATCTCAACAAACGCCTCCTTCAAAGTAATCTACAGAGTCAAGAATAACCTATCAAAGGCAATACGGTTTCGTCTTCTTTGTATCGCTGAAGCTCTGGTCATTCACATAGGAAAACCGGAGCTGTGCATACAAAAGAGAATTACTCAACCACTTCTACTGTCTTGGTAACAACTTTTTTGAATTTGATTTGATTTTTTTAATTTTGATGACTTAATTTTGTTTCTTCGTCTGTTCTTTAATTGCTTATAATTCTTATATTCATTTAGAGCTCTTACGTAATTTCGTATTATCTACTTTGTTCCTATGTGCATCCTGAGTAAAACTCACTCATCAAACTATTCATATTATTACATAACTTCTTTTAGTAACTGTTTGTGACAACTCATCACCTTTGTTACTACCCTAATTTCAATAACACCTAATTTTCTTGACTGATTTTGTATTACGTAACTCCAATTACCAATCTTTACATGTTTAGTTAAAATAACTATAACCAATTGTATTTTTGTTTGAAAAACTTAATGCACGCATACATACAAAATAACACATATATATATTTGCGATTGTACAGCTAAGAAAATGAATTCGCCGCCGAAAAGAGACTCTACGTGTTTTGTTTTCATTAATGCCTGGATGGGGAATATACATGAATTGAAATACAGAACACTCCAAACAGTAAAAGCCATTGTAATTCGCTTAAATCGACCAGAGCTCTTAATGCAAAAGAAACAGTTCTAGCCACTATTGCTACCCTGGAGTGATGTCGAAACTATAAATTCATGAATTCTGTATTAACTCCCGTAGTTTATCTAATCTTTATTTTACTGTTATATCGATACATATTGCCTCTTACTGATACTTTTGATTTAATGCAATATAAAACATTGATTTTGTTAATATCAACATTTCTTCAATAATTATTGTCATATAAATGTAGAATCTGATGATGAATTTATCGAAAAGAATACTCTTTGTTCATTATACAGTCTTCTATGTTGTAATTTTCATGGAAGTGACTACTTGACTTTAGATTGTCTGTGAGAAACGTGTCTTGCTGAACTTGACTCTTATTGATTCCCAGATATTTTACGCTTGTATTTGGTTAACTAATTTTGTTATGCAATACTTATTTTTTTTAATTGGGAAATTTTGGATTGTGTCGTTGACGAGTAGCAAGCATTGTTGTGGTATTCTTCGTATTTCTGATATGTTATTATTGTTCACAATAGTACCACGGATCCTAATCATGTTAAACCATGTTTCACTACTGTTCAGACATAAATCTTGACTGTGAGTGAATGAAGGAAGTTTAGCCACACACGTTCAGACCAAAATACTCCGGTTTTGGCTACTACAGTCACTATCAAATACACCAAGTTATTGAGGAATATGTCATTTCACTCAGCGCTACGGCTTTTCTTACAACAAACTATTACATCGTTAGGAACCTAGCTGTTCAGGTGCTCTGAAAATTGTCTTGAAATTGATTAAACACTAGTGATCGTGCCGTTCGATTAGGTGAGGTAAACTATATTCAAAACAGCAACAAATTCTCTTAGCAAGTCACCTCCAGAGACCAAGTTGTCCAAACTGAATTAGGTGGAGCAAAGTTCAAACCCAACAACCAAAAGGGTTAACAATCAGGCAGTGAGCTGTATATCTTCACACATATAGACAAGAGTGTCCTGAAAATATAAAATTTTCTGCTTCCATAAATATACCTGCTTGATGTTTGCTGTTAAATAAATTCAACAAATGTGTGAAATAATACTTTAGAGAACAATTTGAAATTCTATCAAAGTATAACTAACTAGATAAGAGATATTTCCTAAAATTCATTAACTGACACAAATATATCACGACATATGCATCTGTTGTTATTTCTGTCCTGAAGAAAAGTGTGCACACAGAACCTCATAAAGTAGCTCTCCCTACGATGTACCACGACAGACAGCTTAACACGTGTAAATTCTCCTTGCATATAGAGAACAAAATTTTTGTAATAATGTAGTGAGTGACATTACGAATGTCATTTTGCAAGGGTATATAATGCAGTTAAACACAACTGAACATAACTACAAGTGCTGAACAATATCATACATATAACGTGTGGCTTAATAATCTGATGACCTCGTCCAATAAATTACTATAACCCAGAAGAACTGAATAACATATATGTCAAATTTTTCTGCATGACAAAAAAAAGAAAGTTTATATTACATATGTAACTAGATAAAATTAATGTTCTTTTTTAGGGACATAAATGACTTAACTCTACATTACAATGACACTAACAGCAAACTATTAACAGTCAGCAGATACTGACTTTTTATTGTCTTTCTAAAGCAGTTAAGGCAAATTACTTTGTCTAGTGAGAGAAAAAATAGAAACCAGGTTTGAGGATAGGATAATGGTGACCTTAAACGATTATTTGTTAACTCCATTTAAAAACAGTAAATAAATGAATATGAATGAGCTACAAGAGGTTATTTATCATTAGCTGGCTTCAAGATTGCCTATAAGCTTTCCCTTCCTCCTCATACGATCCCCTCCATATCATCCTCGGACTCATCATGCCTAAAACATCACATCCTATTACGGTTCCCACTCAAGAGCTTGGTGCATGGTGCAACTCAATAGTCCTTCTCAGAGTATGCTCATTGTAAGTGGGAGACAAAAAAAGGCTGGCTAGTTGTCTTTGATCATAGGTGTTTGCGTTCTGTTTCCCGTCTTAAGTGGTATAAAAGGGGGAGCAATATTGAGGTTAGGCATTGAGTGCTGGGTAAGGAAGGGAAATCAATCGACAAGATTGTGAAGTTACCCTGATTGAGATGATTAGGATATGTATTATGCATGCATCTCTAGCCATCGGCCTTCTTCGACGGGCGATTTTAGCTGACATAGATAGGATCAGGTTGGAAAAGAGCTAGTGGTTGGCAAACCAAAACATGGCTTCATCAGTAAATCATATCCACAACAGTTAGCTTAAGCCAGACACGTGGGAAGGTGTAGACTACCTGACTGGTTGGGGTCCTCGGGATGGTAAGAACCAATGAAGGCTGGAGACAATTGGTGATATGGCTCAAAATCCTCGTTCTCAATGGCACAGATGCATCCACTCTTTTTGATTTATAATATCCAGTAAAATTCTGTTGTTCTTCCGTATTATTATGCTTTTTATCTCACACTTCTGTTTATTATCTCTCCTTTGAATCTCTCTTTACTCTCTTTTCTTGCTTTGTGTGCTACATGGAGAGTGACAACTTGAACTGCTGCACATCTGTGCACAGTTCTACGTTGAAACCAGTCAGTCAGTATGTCCAACCCATCTCCACCTCCTCATGTATATTTAATAGACAATAAATCCTTAGTCGATTCGTTGTCAGAGTTCCTTGTTGCTTATCCATTTGGGCGTCGGTGGCACAGAGGTTAAGACGCTCACCGACCATGTACATGATCCGGGGTTCGAACCCCGGCCAACGCATTCCTTTAAGTTGTCAAGCCAGAAATAAAGCTGGTAAAGAGGGAAGGTTGGACATGAGGCTAGCAACCCCATCCTGTAAAAATAAAACACCACTGCTACAGAAACTTCAAGGCTCTAGCGTGAAGCCCTATGTTCCACTGGGAACGTGAAGGAATAAAAAAATATCCATTTCCAGTCGGCTAACTGATCTTCGATATGGAACGAAGACAGCTGTTCATGGAAATCTGCAGTAGCCTGTCCGAAATATTTCTCAAGCCACTTCAAGTCTGTGAATCAAACTAACAATAGACAACAACCATCAAGAAGTTATTACTAATGAATATTTATTTAACGGAAACAAGAGAAAAGGTAACACTCCTGTTAACTTACCGCTTGTCGAGCAAAATTCAACTTCTTTTCAGCTTCTATTTTCTTCTCACAGTAACGTTTCAGTTCCAATTCATAAGTGACTTGTAGCCAGTGTTTAAGTTCACTAGCTGCTAAATAAGATTCATTCACAGAAGGATTTCCAATACTTTTAAATTCTTTTAAATTTACATCTTTACGATGATGTTGAAGCGAGTGGATTTGATCAGCAGTCACTAGATCACAGTCTGAGTGCATATTTTGATTTAACAATACATTAGAATGAATAGAATCATTATTTAAATCATTTAACAAAGTTAATTCTGTAATAGAATTTGAATTATACGGTAAATGATTGAATGTTTGTTTATTTATTGTTGAACATTTTTCACTGTATGGTTTTGTATTCATTGTCTGACAGGATGAAATGTTTTCTCGGCTTGTACACTATAAAAAAAAAACAATAATAATAATAATGATAATAAACACTCAACATCATCCATATTAATGACAAAAAACGATATAAAGCTCAAAAAAATCTATGTAGAAACACAGAGCACATGGTTTGTTTCTATCATTTTTCTTAAGCACATCGAAAAACTATAATAGAATTGATGCACTTATATAAGGGACCCAACAGAAATACATTGACCTCAAGTGCATGGTTTAAAAATATCCATATAAATCAGGATCAAACTAGTTAAAATTTTGGCTAGGGATTGATATTAGTTAGAGAACCATTGTGCGTCCGTGTCACAGCAGTAGAATGCTCGCCAACCACGCCTCAGGTGGTCCGGGGTCCAATCCCCAGCCGACACACTCCTTTACCTCGCTGAGCCAGTAATTAGACTGGTGAAGAGTGGGGAAGGTTTGACATGAGACTAGCAACCCCATCCCGTAAAAATAAATACCACTGCTACCGAAACTTCAAGGCTCTAGCTTGAAGCTCTATGTTTCACTGGGAACGTAAAGGAATAAAAAAAGAGAACCATTGAAAACTAGCAGGACGTACTGGACAGCGGCTAGTGGTCACGCTAGAATCACGAATTAGCAGAAGTTAGAATTCATGGGTCATCGAATTCCAGCTCAAACAGCTGAGAAATCAACAAGCTTGGACTCGTAACCCCAAGGTTCCGGATTCGATCGCTGGTTGGGTCGTGGGTGCATACTGCTAAAGAGTTCCAAACCAGAAGGAAACAGTTATGGAAGTGTGCTGGCGGCTGTTACTTCCAGGCTGCCCATACTGTGGGAGTTGATTTTTTCTTGAAGTACCTGATACAGAAAGAGAATTAATGTTGCTTGACCGCAGGGACGAAGGAAAAACTGCTTGAGGGCGGTCATACACGGCTTGTTTGAATTGGTTTTTGCAGCTGTTTCCGTATTAGTAACTTACCACCCGCTAAGGACCACCGTAGGGAAGTAAGTCGGAATGTACAATTTTCGAGGTTGACCTTTTCGAAACCCTCCTCTTCAGAGTGGAGAGGCAACATAGCTCGTCATCTGAGGGAAATACTTTACTGTTGTTACATCCCTGGCCACAGACCTCCCAGCATAGTGTAAACATCTTAAACTATGACGGTAACTGCTTTTAGTCGAATCGTTATCACTGCAAGCCTGACCATCACGTCAAGGTAGTGCGGCGTGTGCTACTGATAAGATTCATCAGTAGTATATAAAGAGATATTCATCAGCCTTAAAAGCATCAAATAGGACGGAGATACATTTGATGTCAGAGAAAGTAAATGATATATAGTTGTGGAGATACATGGGAGACGTCAAAGGAACACAAAGAAACATAATATGGAGACCAGAAGTATCACGACACGGAAGATCTGTGCTAATGGTGCGTTAAAGATAAGGTGTACATAATTTCGCTATATAAGGATACCAAGTTGCAAATAAATATTCCTTTACCAAGTCCTTTGTCTTCTACCGTTACAGTAGCAGTTATCTACAATTAACTTGTGAGAAAATTAACAATACAAAACATATACGCTACAGTGTGTGTGTAAGAAATAAGAGAAATAAACGATACTTACTTGTGAAGACATAGGCAACAGCGCTGAGGATGATGTAAAATGATGATTTAACTCATAAGCGTTCAATGTTTGTCTTAATTGTTCCACATCATTTAACCTGTTGATTTAAATATTTTAAGAAACACAAACCACATCATACATTGCAGATCACTAGTACAATAATTGAGAAAATATAGAAAACTGACCTATTGTCATTATATGCACACATTATTTAATAATAAAAAAATTTAGTATTCACTTGAACACAAACTTGGTAAAGTGAAGGCACCAAGAAATGCTGAGGTACAACATAGACGCTTACACCGATGCTGATAATTGTAGCGAGTCTATAACTGACCCACAATGCTGCACAGCAGTGTTGCGACCAAAAGCAGTTCATATTATATAATTATTGTTCCCTTGGGTTCCTAGTGGAACATAGGGCTTCAACTGCACGCCTCCACTTGCTTCTGTCTTCTGCTGTACTTTTCACTTGAATCCATGTTAGTCCATACTGTTTCAGCTCCTCTTCACACAACCTCCTCCATGTCACTCTTGGACATCCCACTCGCCGCTTCCCTTACGGGTTCCACTCGAGCACTGGCCTGACGCGCGATGTCACCCAGCGGCCTCTTCAGCGAGTGTCCAATCCATCTCCACTTTCTCCTGCATATTTGTTGGGTGATTGGTTCTTGTTTTGTTTGTTCCCATAGTTTCTTGTTGGTGATTCTTTCCGATGGCCATCTGATCTTCAGTATAGAACGAAGACAGCTGTTGTTGATAAAGGTCTGCAACAGGCTGTTGGAAGTGTTCTTTGTGACCCGCCAACTATCTGATCCGTAAAGGAGAACTGACTTGACGTTTGTATCGAAAATCCGAATTTTGTTGTTGATGCTGAGTGACGAAGATTTCCAGATTGGTTTCAGGTCCATGAATGTGTTTCTCGCCTTACCGATTCTCGATTTGACATCCTCATCCGTTCCTCCTGTGGTTGAGACAATGCTCCCTAGATAAGTGAAAGAAGTAACCTCTTTCAAATCCTTCCCGTTGATGATGATTGGCGCTGGATGTTGCTGTTGTTGTTGGTTGGTTGGTTATTTTCATAACCTCCATCTTGTTTATGTTCACCTGGAGTCTTGTCTTTGCTGCTTCTTCGACCAGTTTGTCGGTTTTTGCTTGTAAGTCTTCGATTTTGTGTGACATCAAACATAAATCATCCGCAAAATCCAGGTCTTCTAGGTTCTTCACGTCGGTCCACGATATCCGTCTTCTCGTTTCCCACTGTCTGTGTTCACATTGACATTCTTTTATTCCAAATCCTAGAGAACACGTGTATCACTGAATTAGAATCAGTGACCTGTCCAGACCTAATCAGATGAACTCTCAATATCAATCAGTCAATCCACAGATGAGAGCCATAAAATCTCAATAGCTTCAACCAACAAGGAACACCTTTGGTCGCGAAAAGTCAATGGATATGCAGTGCTTGGCATAAACAGCCACATGAAAGCATTTGAAAACCAAAAAGTCCACATACCAATCAGTGGAATTTTTGATGATATAACTCGCTTAGGTTGCGTAAAATGCAACAGAATGCAAACGATTACTAATGTTGCATAACTAATATTTGACTTTCTACAATCTTTACATCAAATACTACTCTTTCTTTCATGTTTTCACTTACAATATACATGTTCCACGTTGTCTGTACCAGTTCATCCAAGTAACCAGTCAAGTGATTTGAACTAATCCATCCAGCAATCTAAGTTAAATCTAACCAGATAAATCATTGATGAGATTTTAGGCCCAAACGAGTGAAACCGCCTTTCGATGTTTGAATCACTTTGACCTGGATAGCAAGTATCATTGTGTTGATACGAGTGGTGTATGACTACTTATACCAATTAGTATACTATGCTATCATGTTAGTGATATGTAGACAGATGAGCAATGGAGTTTCCTTTTATGGTGATGTAGTGATCCAGATCAGTCTGGAAGTAAATCATACATGTTTACATCCTTTTATGGACACCTCTCACGCCTACGTCACTGGCCATATATATATATATATATATATATATATATATATATCCTTCTGTATATATGTTCATACTGAAACAGACTTCAAGTCTCACGTCGTTGTGTGTTCTTGCTTGTGCAGAGCGGGCTGGGGAACAGGTAGCTGTCGTATAATGTTGTTGATGTAATCAAGAAGTATTCGTGATCAGCGTGTCTGTGTCCAACTTGACGTCCCTATTCAGTTCAACGTATTGCAAATATGGTAAAATCATAGAAAGCTACTTTGCTCGCTTTTCTGTTACCATTTATACTCCTAAGTGGGTCTCATATTGTCATCTGAATATCTTGGGCTTACAAAGGAAACCATGATGAATTTTCACCCAGAACAGTGCAATTCGCTCATGAGAATTTTGAATGACCCACTCATCCGATTCTCTTGAATTAGGAACCTTTATCTCACAATACACGATATTAGTCGTTTGAATATAGCTACTCATTCGGAGTCCTATTTATTGGGTATGAGAATGAGGTTGGAGAATTAATACACAGCGCTCTCGGACAGGTCCCATGGGCAGACCTAAAAGCGGTAATCATGCAGATGAGACCAAACTCAATCGAAAGGCGTCCACATTAATTCATGACTGATTGTAAATTTAGAGAGAAGGAACCTTCAAAACTCTGGTAACATAGGATACAAATTATTGAGTCACGTAATTCAGATGAAGTACTACTGAAATGAACGTGACTGTAAAAGCTACCTTATAATGTTTAACAAATATTAATATTAAGTATTTCTCCTAAAACTATTAAGCTAGGGAATTAATTTGATATTGCAGATAAAAGTAGTTAAAGTTCACCTCGATAGTTATTCAACTCGCAGTTTAAAAACCACTTAATACATAAAGGCACAGTATTACTCGGATAGTCTGTAATAAACACATCTAGTCTGCACTTGAATTTATTTGTTATAATATTTCGTTCTGAAGTACTGCAAAGTAGCACACACGATTGTTGTCCATAATCAAGACTTCATGAGTACCAACGGAACAGACAGAAATTTAACAGAACGAAATGAGGCTAAGATGTTCAGTAGTATAGCCACAATTTTAATTACGAGGCGAACAAATGGAGGAATCCTGTAATTTTAATCAGATCGCACCAACCAGGTAGGGAATTTCCAAGGCAATGAGATGAGAGAGAGAGAAACAGACGCCATTGACAAATATCTCAGTTGCCGTATTTTTGTACTGAACAAAACTTTGAGATTCCAGTTCCCGACAGATATCAGTGTATGTTAGTGTTACACCAAAAGTATTTTTCAGACAAAAGGCTGACACGGGAGCAAACATGCTTTTCAATATTTGTACATATTCTACTCTCACATTCCACTACTTCACAGACCTGTGAGTTGGTCGTCTCGGAAAACTACATGAAATATTCTTCCTTGTTCTAACCTTCTGTTCAGCACCATTTCAATCATGAAGATGCGATGTCGCAGTCATCTATGCATACTTCAACTTCAACTAAGCTTATGCTACTAAAAAACACTGCAAAGTAACGAACTGATATCATTACTTCTCTTCGTTTTTGTCATTACTGTGCGCAGTTCATTAATCTATTTTTATAATCATGTGTTGAGCTATATATATTTTCACCTATAACACTTAGTCTACCTATGATACCTCATAAACCCAGTCTCTCTAGAGAAACAACTCAAAAGATACATAAGTAAAAACAAAATCTATAAAAAAAACATTGACTATTTCTAATTATCTACACTACTGTCAATACCATGTGGATAGGTACAAATTAGTAACACAGCGGATCGACATCACTCTAAAGATCAATACAAAAATTAGATGTATTTTTATCCTTTTGTTATGTGTGTTTATCTCTCAGTAATCAATACATTGATCGTATATATACACAAAACGTTATGATAACAGATAGACAGTTTCTAAACTATCAGGAGAAAATTTTCTCCTATGACATCTTTTTCAGATCCAGCCATAAGGTAAGTTATGTCATAAGCTAATTGCATCATTTAAGCTTCACTCGGCTATTATAGTAATATCAGTATATTTTGTACTGACGGAAGAAGTGCAAGCAATTGTTACTTCTTCACTGTGTACACACAATATTAGAAGGAGTGCTCACCCTATGTGAGTGATTGCACAGCTGACGATGAGTTACATACCATCTGCGTAAAAGCATAACGATGTGTTTCAGCTGTACGAAAAAAAGATTGTCTTCAGTTAAAGACAATGTGAAATCAGTGCTACTATACGGATCAGAGACTTGCACTGCGCGTCATAAAGAGCATCTCAAACAAACTACAGAACTTCATTAACAGTTGTCTTCGCTCAATACTCAAGATCAGATGGCCAGAAAAGATCACCAACAGAGATCTATGGGAGCAAACCAACCCAGCAGGAACCGATTGTGCAACAAATGTGCAGGAAGAAATGGAGATTGATTGGCCATACTCTGAGGAAACCATCAAGCGATATCACAAGCCAGGCCATCGCTCGAGTGGAACCCGAAAAGGAAGAGGCGAGTTGGTCGTCAGTGCAAGGGTGACTTGGAGGAGGTCATGTGAAGAGGAGATGAAAACGTGTGGGCAGACTTGGAGTCAGGAGAAGACTCTAGTAGAGAACCGAACGCAATGGAGACGCACGGCTGAAGCCCTATGTTCCTCTAGGAATTAAAGGATACAATAATAATAATAAAAACAAAAATGTGACAAAATGGGATGTATGGTTTTTCAGAACCAACCTATTTCAAACACTCAGGAAGAAGATGACACAGCTGAATTGTTAATCATCTGAAGGACACACCTTACTCTCCGCATTTTTAGCAAAACTTCATCCTCAGAAGTTTCTTTTAGTTTTGCTACCAACTGACTGACCTATATGGAATTATAATACTTCCAGAAACAATTCTCCTAAGCAGCAACATAACAAGTTGATTCAATGTGATATACGAACCTTAACAACACACAAATGATAGCAACTGTCAGTTAGACAAGTGGTACTTTCAAAGGGCGATACTATATTGTAAATGATAAATGCAAACAACTCACATACTGTATATATATATATATATATGGCTCATGCCCTAATATGAGTAACAGCTATTGGCTGTCGAATCGAATACTAGAAATCAAACGCTGGATTTCAGTGCTTGACTAATATGGAGAAATGCTCTCCAACTATATTTAATTTAAGCAGCAAATACTGAATTCGAAAGCCTAAGACTATCATACCCGATAGATTCATAGACACTAAGTGCTGAATAACCAGTGATTATGATGAATACAGACAAATTAAGAGATAGAATGGTGATGAAAAGCACTATCACATACAATTCTAATGATGTTTCAAGTAGAGAGTTTCTTAATTGGTTTAAAAAGTCCTCATTTTTTATACACCTACTCTTGTGAAGTGTACTACTGACAAGCATTTGTAAGTAGCATGCAGCGTGTGTGTGATCTTTAGTAAAATATTGAATAGTGGAGTGACGGTTTAAGTGGCAAAGAGGAAAAATCAAAAATCCTTGTGAAACAACATAGAAAGCATGAGAGGAAGACAGATGAAGCACAATACGATGTGCCACTACCCTGTAATTAATATATCTAATAGGGAAAGTAATACTGGATAGCAAAATAAACCACTTGGAAAGACATGCTACTCTATTCAATACCCAACCAAAATCTACACGATTATTATTATTCTCTTAAGTTCCGTGTGGAACATAGGGCCTCAACAGCACATCTCCATTTTGTCTAGTTCTCTGCAGTCCTCTTTAGCTAGCTCCACGATTGCCCATAAGCTCTCATCTCCTCCTAACACGACCTCCTCCACATTGTCCTCAGACAAACGCCCAACTCGTTGTTTCCAATTCAAGTTCCACTCGAAGTCCTCCCTGTGCGCGATATCACTCCACAGCCTCTTCAGTGAGTGTCAGGACCATCTCCATTTCTCTCGGCATATTTCTTGGACGATAACTGCTCGATTGGTTCCTTGCCAAAGTTTCTTGTTGCTTATCCTTTCTAGCCATCCATTCCTCAGTATGGAGCGAAGACAGATGTTGATAAAAGTCTGAAACCCGTTCTAAATGCTCTTGGTGACATGCAATATTTCTGAAGCACATAGAGCCAATGGCTTGACATTAGTGTCAAAAATCCGAATCTTGTTCCTTCTGTCCGTCTGGTTTCAACATAGAACTATGCACCGATGTGCAGCAGTTCAAATCGCCACACACCATGTAGCACACAAAGCAAGAGAAGAAAGTTGAAGAAATGCAAAATAGAGACAGTAAACAGGGATATGAGACAAAAGTAATAGTAATAACGAACGACAATATAGTTTAATTGGAAATCATAAGTCACAAAGAGTGGATGCATCTGCACCATCATCGAGAACGATTTTGAGCCATATCACCGATTGTTTCCAGCCATTGGTGTTCACCGTCCCGAGGACCCCAACCAGTCAGGAAGTCTACACCTTCCTACGTGGCTTAAACTAACTGTTGTGGATTTCATTGACTGATGAAGCCATGTTTTGGTTTGACCACCACTGGCTCTTTTCCAACCTGACCCTATGTCAGCTAACATTGCCCGTTGTCGAGGAAGGCGATGGCTAGACATACGCAGCACATTTCCTAACTATCTCAATCGGTGCAACTTCACAACCTCGTCGATTGATTCCCTCTCCTTACCTAGCACTCGACGCCTAACCTCAGTATTGCTTACCCTATTATTCCACTTCATACGGGAGATAGAACGCAGACACCTATAATCAAAGACAACTAGCCTTGTGATGTCTTTCACTCTCAATGGCCTGGTCTTGTTCCTTATGCTAAGTGCAGTAGTTTTTTTTATTTCAGCTTGATTCCACACCGTATTTTTTGGTACATGTAAGGAATTTTCAGCATGTGATATCGGTAGCCCAAATTTTGCAGGCCGACCATAGATATCAGGTGTGCGTCGGCAGGGGATCGAACCTCGGACTATGTGCATGGTCGGCGAGAGTCCTAACCACTGTGCCACCGACGCACAGTGATTTTCCGGAGTGATTTCAGAATAATGAAAGTCTGCCTTTGCGACAATTATAAAATAAACTTAGATGACTGTAGAATACTAACTGCATAACACAAAGACAATTATCTCACCGTAAACAGTTAAACGAATTAAAAAATATTGCTCTTTCCTTAACTTTTCGTTTTTGTTAGTACTATTTTATGTGAATTGGTTAGTAAAAGTTATCATGGTAACAAAAGCAACATAAATATACACAGGTGACCAACCTTTTTTGAAGCTGTTTTAACGTTTGTTCAGCAGAATTCAACTTTTCGTGTTTCTTACCAGCTTGTTGTTTTTCAGAATTACTTGATGCATGACAAAACCAATGTGAGAAGCTGGCAACTGAAATGCACAGTAATCCTAGCGATAATGTGACAAAGGATACATTGACCGATGCGAACACTGAGTCTATTTATTGAAGAATGTAAGAACAAAGAAAAACAATAAACTGCTTAGATAACTAGGAGATTAGAAGCTAAATAGATATCTAGTTAGCGCAAATTATGTGAATCTCTATAGATATTACTGGAAAACATGTTTAAAATAAAACGAAAAGCTCAATATTATGTGTGTTGATTGAATGTAGTATACAGTTCTCGCACTGTTGTAACTCAGTCACCCGGAACTGATCTCCCCTGTACCACAGAGACGCTAGCTACATTTATTGTGCGGGGGCTGATGATACCACCCGATTAACAAGAGTGGTTCAGTGGTAAAATACTCGCCAAACACGCTACACGTGATCCGGAGTCTGATCGCTGGTCGACGCTTATTCCGAAGTGAGTCCGGTAAAGAGGGGAGGTTGTATATGTGAGGCTAACAACCTCACCCCGTAAAAAATAAACACCACTGCTACTCAAACTTCAAAGTTCAGGCTTGAAGCCCTGTGTCCCACACAGGACGGTAAAGGATTCCAAACAAGGACCTAAGGCCTGAAAACTAAATTTTTAAGCCACCTAGTGATACATTATTATTATTGACTGGATGCGACTTGGAGCATAATTTAATTACATGTAATACCAAATCAACCCAATCGTTCTTTAATTTGCTTTATTAATGCTTTATTACCGTATGCTATACAACAGGAACTGATTTAATAATAGGATTATACTCCGCTAAGGTGCCGAAGTTCTACTCTTAATCATAAAGTTAGACGATAGGTGAAGTTACAAACTTTCATGTTCTTAACATTTTTACTGATATGTCAATAACTGTAAATGAATGCTTTGTATTCAATCCAAGAGAAAAGAAAATTCGATCAAAGAATATTCTTTTCGACAATTTCCTCTTCCGGCTCTACAATTATATATAAAGATAGGGAGAGGAAGAGGGAGACGGAGAGTATTCTAGAACAATCACCATTAACAATATTGGTATTTTTTAAATAATATCGATTTATTGAGATCAAAGAAACTACAGTTCAAGAAAGATACATAAGCTATAATAAACATACAAATGTAATAGTAAATAGAATATCAAATAAAATTAAAGAAGTCTCTACAACAAATTGAGGATCATTAAAACCTTGATGGTCAGTAGGGCAAGGAGAGTGTCTGAATCATTTTTTTGGATACATATATTAGGCTTCTTAATGTAGATTCCAACAGCCTCAGCAGTATGTAATAGACGAACTCTTAAGGTAAAATTAACATTAGTTGGTATACGGTAGATGACTTTGAAAGTCTTGTTTACATCAATTTTGTGTTCTACATCTACGTGATGAGATAATACAGAACTATAAATGGACTTTGTTTGTCTATTACTTAACCAAACAAGATGGTGTTCGGAAATCCGACGATAAACACGCCTGATTGTACGGCCTACGTGACTAGCTCCACAGGAGCAGTCAAATTGATAGATACACATAGAAGAGGCGAAATTGAACAGTTTATCTTTAACTCCTGAATGCATAACAAAGGTGGTTCTGAAGAGACGGCATACTGCAGCGGCATTGAATGCTGTTTTTATCGCATCCAAAAGAAATTGGTCCAGGCACTGTCCTTACCCTACTGGTCATCAAGGTTTTAATGATCCTCAATTTGTTGTAGAGACTTCTTTAATTTTATTTGATATTCTATTCACTATTACATTAGTATGCTTATTATAACTTATGCATCTTTCTTCAACTGTAGTTTCTTTGATCTTAACAAATCGATATTATTTAAAAAACATCAATATTGTTATTGACGATTGTTCTAGAATACACTCCGTCTCTCTCTCTCTCTCTTTCTCGATATATTTATGTACATACATATAAAATTGTAGAACCGGAAGAGGAAATCGTCGAAAATAATACTCTTTGTTCGAATTTTTTTGTCTTCTAAATGTCTGGATGAATGTTTAAATCCAACAGCAAGATAAAATTAGTGGCCTCATAGTACACTGACACTTTCACTACACTACGACCTATCTGAAACAATCGGTTAAGGCAAATTTTCGAGTAAAAATACATATCACTGGTTAGATAGCCTGGTGGCTGCCAGTTCGGCTGTTCCAAACTTTACACCTACGCTTTTCTAAATATTTATACTCAAATTCATCAAAAATCTCGGTCACAATACTAATAATAGCGAATAATTCTAAGCGATGAATGTATCAAATTTCAGATAAAGTTAATTCATGTCAGCATGTATCAATATCAATAAATATAATCTAAACGTTTTCAGTGAAATGCCAGACCATAGGAAAACAGTCAGTTTAGAAAACTGCATGCATGTGAAACAACCCTGAGTAGCGCATTTCGTCACTTTACAGAGAGATGAGATGAAAGCACATTAGAATTTGGTGCCACTTACACCTTGTTCTACCTTATCTTCTCATACAGTCTCGAGGTTGATATTGATTCAAATTGCATAACACTTATAATAACCTCTTCAGTTTCCCAATTGAATGAAAGTACATAGTCTCATCAAGTGGCTTTGTTCATTTATCTATTAATATACTCTTAATAACAATATTATTTTACAACATACAATATCTACGATAATGTAAAACTATATACTACTTATTGACTTAAATGAGTACTTGTATACTACTCACACCAAACAGTAGTAATTGTTAGCCAGATCGAGGTGATCTAAACAGCTGACGACCTTTTAGCTCGTTTGGGGCCGGGCTCATTAGCGGTGCACCCAGTTTTGACTCAGCTGAGAGCGCCGAGCCAGTTCAAACCACTCGACTTTTGGCTAGCTAATTGGGCGGACTGGTGACACTACAAACCAAATACAAACTCTGAATCAAAACCACGTACAACGCTGATGACCTCTGCCCCAAACGAGCAAAACAGCCGTCCGGTGTTTAGACCACCCTGATCTAGCTAGCAAGCCCTACTGGTTGATATAGGCGGCGTGCAACTACTCCTCTCAATTAACAAGTACCGGCAATAAGCCACAATTGAAGTGTGGTGGCCAGTGACACCATCTAGTTGCTCAGGCTGAAGTAGGTAAGGCGAGACTAAAACCCCACCCCATCGACTAAAATTAGCGCTAGTTTTACGCAATTATCCTTGCTTTCTTGATTACCATTTATGGTATCAAGCAGACCACATACTGTGATCTGAATAATTTTGTTTCTAAAGAAAACTGTGGTGAAAACTTCACCCCTCAAACTGTGTACACTACATTATTGACATAAGGATAAAACTAGGGCACTCTGGTAGATTATAACTCCATTATGAGTACCTTGAAATGACTATTAGCAATAATTTGTGCTCGAAACGTCATCAGTAAATATTACTGTATAACACGGTGAGACTTTATCAAAATAAAATTCTATCCATAATGGAGTGCGTATACTGCAAATTGTAAACTAATTTGCAGATTGTGAATGTAAAGCCTATGGATTTCTGAAGTCTTCGATTTCCGACGATCATGCATCACAGTTATAAATTAGTACGTCTCTACTGATATACAGTAAAAGTTCCCTTCGGTAGATAATTGAATATTCTTGAAAATTGTATGATGCCCCGAAGAATTCGGAATTAAGAATGTCTCATAAACGGTGTCAAATTACACCCAAAAGTGCTCAACAAAGTTTAAATAACACTGGAATACTATGAAAGACAAGACTGAAAACTTTACACAAAATCAATAAAAATAACTAACGCCTTGGAGGTCCAAACAGGATGATATCTAGAGCACGAAGCATTAGTTTCTTCTTGTGAATTGGATTTTGAATCCGCAGTACATCTGTTAAGTAACTCATATTTTGCATAGCCAGGCTAGAAAAGCAAAAATAAGGCAAGTAAACCCAAGTATATCTATCTATCAGGAATAAACTTCATACCAGATAAAAAAAGACAAATATGAAATTCATTTCAAAAAAGCAATGAAATGTTAAAGACGTAATGAGTTATAATTTTAGTCAGAACATATCAAATATGTCAACTGTTAGCTTTCGTCATGAACCAATAGCACTTAGAGACCCATGGAAACCACAGAGTACTGAATGGCAGTTTCTTCCTCCCTTAGAACTCTTCACCAGTACGCACCCCTGACCCAACCAAGGATTGGACGCGGGACCTACAGGTCACGAGACCAAGGTCGTTGACCATTCAACCACGTGGGGCGGAATTCACTGACCCGCGAATTCTTTGTCAATTCGTGATACAGCGCTACCCTCAACCAATGCCCTCGATGAGCATCCACTCACCGTGAAATGGTGGACCCCACTGACCACGACTTCTCCCTACAGCCTCAGGACAATCATCCAGTAGATATTATTGTGCTGGAAATTGATTGTTAGATTTTGTCACCAACCAACGTCAGTTAGAAATCATGAAAACCAGAGAGCATTGGATAACCGATTCGTCCTAGACTGGGGCTCTTCATCAGTATTCACAAACTATGCTTGGTTTAGCTAAACAGTCTTATTGAGATGTAGTGATATGCTGTGTTGCAACAAGATTAGAGTCAGAGACCTTTAGGTTATTTGGCTGAGTGAGGATTAATGGTCAGGCGACTGGAGGCGACAAATATATATATATATATATATATATATATATATATGCTTTTATCATCACGCCAATTCAAACTGGAACGAAGGAAACAAATCCCTATTTATACCGAAATAAAAATCTTCTTTACATGAAAGCAAACGGAAACAAACAGCCCTTGTTATCCAGTTTCAACTCAACATAATAAATGGGGACATCATTGCTTTGAAATAAACTCGACTTGTCTGTCTGTCCAACAGTCCATAAGGTAAAGTGAGGTCATAAACTTCAAAACAGGAAAATCACGTAATGATAGCCAAATAAGAACTGAGGGATTCAATTACTTCAACCTGTAGCCGAATTAGTTATTACAAGTGTTTTTAAACACGATAATTTTTATGTTAAGTTGACAATAAATAGTAGCTTAATATTTTTGTAAGCCAAAATGGTATTTCTTCATCATCACTGTTTTTTTAAGAAGTGGCTGTTCGAGCCTCACAAACTTTATCATAAATTTCAAAAGAGTTGTTGGTAAAAAATGAATATACTTTTCGATAAATTCTTCATCAGGTACTACGGCTATATATCCATAATAGTTTTTTTTAATAACATCAAATTATTAAGGTTAGAAACATCTGTATCTGACGAAATGCATGAATATCAGTTCAACTGATCCCATGGAGCTAGTTATATCGGTCGTTACAGGATTTTCATCATGAGCTGACATTAGTTAGAGAACCATTGGAAAACCTGGGAGTACTGGACAGCTGTTTTGTCCTAGTTTAGGACTCTTCATCGGTACGCCCCCTCACAATGGAGTTCGAACCCAGGACCTTCTGGTTACAAGGCGAGCTCGTATACCATTAAGCCACTGGGACCCACCCGATCCAATGGCCCATGAATTCTAACTTCTGCCAATTCACGACATAGTGCGACCCCTACCCAATGTCTTCGGCGAGTAGTTGTCCTCACACCCGACCTGCTGCACCCTACTGGTCACGACATCTCACTAGAACCCCAGGTAACCTTGTAACCAGAAGATCCTGGGTTCGAACTCCATTGTGAGGGTGCGTACCGCTGGAGAGTCCCAAACTAGGACGAAACAGCTGTCCAGTTCTCCCAGGTTTTCCAATGGTTCTCTTACTAATGTCAGCTCATGATGAAAACCCTGTAACCAATCAAATCCCTACAAACCAACACTTGTATATCGGTCGTTGTTCCAGGAACTTGATAGTTTGTGCTTAAAACATCTATTAGTGGGGTCAAATAAAAGTGTAATAAAATTCATTAACAGAGTATCTGGTGCAAACAAGCCTTACAGCCAGCATTGGAGTTTTTTTCCATCATTTGTCGTGTTCTAACTACCAAATACTCCAAGCAACGGAAGCGATAGCAATTTGTATACATAAGAAATAGGTTCAACCAATATCGCTACCCCAACCCGCTGCGGAAACCATGAATTCATAAATTTTGTATTATTTTTCTGATATTAAATTTAGTGTCATATTCATGCATACTATCGCATACACATATTTTAAACTATAATCTATTACTCTTAAGGATTCAATGTTATTTTAAGGAGACATTCATGTTATCAATAAGGATTACCCTTCAAATATTGTGTATATATAACCGTAAAGCCAGAAGAGGAAGTTATCGAAAAGAATACTCGTTGTTCACTAATCAGTCTTTGTAAATTTATCATGAAACAAAATGCAACACAGTGCAATCGGTAAAATAGGGAAAGATGAAGAGAAGTTAGTAGCCAAGAAATGACTGAAACAAGAGCAGTTGTGATCTAGTTTTTAATTCTTCTTCTTCAGAATTCTTAACATCGCATACTATAATGATTGCAGACATTTACTCAGCTCAAAGTAATAATGATCTTCAAATACATAACAGTTCTTACAACAAAGTCGATCCTGTATAAAGAAGAAATATTTTGCAACTAAATACACTGAGAATTTCTGTACGTGTTAACATACTGTCTAAAATAAAGCTCTTTTATTATTATTATTATTACCATTACTCATTACTTACGAGAACAATATTTCATTATTACAAAAGGTAGGATTTGAAATATCTACTACATATGCGGCTGTACTTTTAACAAATGTATTGAAAGAGAAATGCACTTGACCAGTGTAAAACAATCGATATAAGACATTCTGAATTGTATTCATTGTTAAAAAGATAAAATAAAACAAAAAGATGACCTAGGGCACATGTAACCTCAGTCATAAGTTTCAATTCATCCATTCAACTATGCATTATTCATAAACCGAAAATAATATGTGAAAAAGATAATAATAATGATAATAATAATAATTATTATTATTATAACATCACAGTAATACTGGGAATTTACCGCGGTAGTGAACGTCCATCCACATGATGTTGACGAAATATATCAGCATATTGAGGAAGATCTACTGGACCTGTTAACCATTGAATGGTATCTTTCACAGTCCAGTTAAATGCTGTAATAATGAAAATTGAAACATCAAATATCAGTATATTTTCTATAGTTGGTATGTAAGAATTAGTTTTGTTTTTACGAGTTGATCACGAACTGATATCAGTTAGAGAACCATTGAAAACCAGGGAGTACTGCCAGACAGCTGTTTCGTCCTAGTTTGGGAATCATCGGCAGTACGCACCCGCTGCGGTTCGAACCCAGGACCTTCCGGTTACAAGGCAAGCTCTTATACCACTCAGCCAGTGGGACCCGATTGTCGATGAATCCCAAACTAGGATGAAACAGCTGTCTGGCAGTACTCCCTGGTTTTCAATGGTTCTCTAACTGATATCAGTCCGTGATCAACTAGTAAAAATCGGTATATTTTAATATTAAGAGTGAAACACTTATTATTCAAAGACTATTCTAAAATACAGAGAATGCAAAATTGTAACGCTAAATACTCATCCTTTTTAAACAGAAGACATAACATACTCCTAACTAGTGTATGACATGGTCATTGAAACAGGGAAGGTATGAAAATGCTGTTTTCAACCACAGATGTGTGCAGTTTTTCTGCTGTGCTAAGTGGTATAATACGATGAGTAATATTGAGGTTCACTGTAGAGTGTCAAATAAGAAGGCAAGGTCAGTCAATAAGGTTGTCAAGCTACATTAATTGAGATGGCTAGGACATCATGTGTTGCTCATGTCGAGTCACCGCCTTTCTGATATGGGATTGAGTTGGAAAAAGACTAAAGCGGGTGGTCAAACCAAAACCTGGAATCAGTCCATGGAGTCTTTGACAGTTTGTGTGAGCCGCATACAGTGGCGTAGAGTATCTGATCATCGTTCTCAAAATGCTAAGAACAAATGCCTGGAGTGTCACTGATAAGGCCCGAAATCGTTATCAGTAGTACAGATATATTCACTCTACTTTTCTTTTTTCCATACATTTCTGCTTTTATAGGTTTTTTTTTAAATCTCTTCTTTTTTTGTCTTCTCTACATTTTTGTGCAACATAGAGTGTGGCAACTTGAACTATTGCACTTATATGCAAAGTTCTCTGTTGATACTTAGTAGGTCAGTATTTCCTCTTTCGATAAACAATGACCATATTAACTTTGACAAGTTGATGAACCCATTTTATTTAATACTTAAAAGTTTGTTATTGATTTCCATCGGACAGAAAATCAATAAAAATTCATGAAGAAACTAGCGATTTGTCGCCGTTCTAATTTATAACCATTAAAAATCAGCACTCATGATCCTGCTAGAGATCACAGTTTAGGACTGTCAAATTTCATAAAGTGCACGTTGTTATTTAAATAAGTAGGTTAGAATCCAATGACCTGAGTGCGTATTGCCTAAAATCTCATCACCACTAATGAAATGATCCTGTTTGCCTAAAGCATTTAGATTGTAACATAGTGATATGCAAGAAACCTCAGGATATAAAATAAGAGGCGAAAATTCTATAAAATAGAATTGGATTATTGTGTGAAATGGAAAATGAAGTGTACAATAAGCCTGAACACTTGTGTAAAACGGATATTTACTGACAGCTATGCCTCGACGTAAGCGTCAGATACCATCACTAGTGAATTAGTCATCTATTTTAAGAGAGATGTATTGATACTATATCAGCATAATAGTTGGATCTAACATCACTTGCAAACACCAGTAGTAATCAAAAGAAACTTCACAGTCAAACTTTTGCTTTAGGAGAAAAATAAGTAGTCCACTATAGTCCTGAATACAAAATTACATAATCCATATTCGAACGCGCCTATCACTTTGCATAAGTAGATAAAAGCAAAGGAACAGGGTTAAGTGTTGAAAATTATTGAGACATTTACGTAAAAGACTATAGAGACAGTTACATTGCAAAGCTTAAATTGAGTATCAAAGTAATGAAATTCTCACACACCTACAAGTTGAAAACTAGTCCACTGATCACAATTTACTGACTAGGGGATCAAATTTTTATTTTTTTAAATTTTGATGACACCGTATTTTCAGTACAAATAAGGAATTTTCAACATGGTAGCCCAAATTTTGCAGGCCAACCATAGATATCGGGTGTGCGGCGGCAGGGGGTCGAACCCCGGACTATGTGCATGGTCGGCGAGAGCCCTAACCACTGTGCCACCGACACCAAGAGTTCTGATGAGAAGTTATAACCGGTGAGGTGTGAAGACATGCTCATCAATGATATGCGTCAGAGTTCGTGCTATGTCACCAATCGACGACAAATGATTTATGGGGCCACTATAATTCCACCCATTAACTGAAATGGAATACATTCGCCTAGTAACTTGTAGACAATGGGTTCAATTTCTGCTGGTGGCATGGGTGTATACTGAAGAGTCCCAAAATGGGATGAAACAGACGTTTAATGCTCCCTAGACTCAATGGTTTTTAAACTGATGTATGTCGGTTAAGAAATCTGTGCTGAATCGGTGGTATTGCCGTAAACTTAACTCCTGAAAATAATAATTAATAATCCTCATTAACAGAAACATGAATTGGGAATAAAGCCGACCTTATTACTGCCTTTAATTCACTGTATAAAATACATTAAACTCGGATACTTCGCTTTCCTGGGAGATGATTCCATCCCATATGTTAAAAAGGAATCGTTTTTCACTCTTAAAACAACCTGGTGATAATACGAAGTGGGAGTGGTTTAGTAACATTATTCGATTAACTGATCCTGTTGACCTTAAAATAATTTCATTTGTATAAAATGCTTAAACAATTAAATCTGACTAGAAACCCGAGAATTTGACCTCAGAAAACAGTGCATAACTCAGACACTTTTCCTTCTTGATAAAGTACACAAAAGACAAAGTAGTCAAACCCAAGAGCTAAATTCCCTTAGGAGACAACTGAAATTTCAGTATACCAATAAAAAATAAATGGTAACTGAACAGTCATCCCAACGACAAATGGGCTAAATAGCAGTATCTTTTAAAATATTTGAGGTTATTGTTGTTAAAAACATTGATTCAAGAGCAGTTTTGTTTTCACTGTGATAAAATACCATTGAATATCACAGCTGGCAGTAAAACCTCATAAATCATTGAATCACCGATGTTGCTGAATTCTCCCTATGCTACTAAGATGTATTAATCCTATTCGGCTAGTTATATAAGCAATTTCAACAAGAATGCGTCAAATATCCGGTCTTCGGGATTCTGCTCTACCAGTACCGCCGAAGCATGAGCGAACTGCGCAACAGCCAACTTCTGTACCCTAGCAACCTACGACTACTGACAGATATTTTCATAAACAAATGCTATCATATGATCGTCTGTATATATGGCAAAACCATAAGGCTGAACTTGAGTCTATTTTTTTAACCATAAAAAAGTAAATCTCTTGATAAAGTGTAAATGTATACACACTGATGTTATTCACCACTGTTTATTCCTGTGAGATGAAGCAGAGTCAGGCAAAACACAGTCAGGAGTGCTTAAACCAAGACATATTACCAACAATAATGATAATGATTATTAAAGTGAGCCGTGTCTGACTGATTGATTTACTAACGCGCGATGTTCCAAAAGGTGCATCAGTTCAAGCTTTCACACTTCAGAAAAGCATACATATAAAAATTAGGGAAGGTAATGTTATGAAATATCAACAGACGAAGACTTCAGAGACACAGAATAGTCGAATTAAGATTCGTGAACATTTTCAGTATCTCGAAAATGATAAGTGAATGCATTTGCGCCACTGTAAACAATTTTGAGCCATTTTGTCAACTTTTGTTTTTTAACACATCAGCAACCACAGTCAGGCAATCTATAACCCCCCCCCCCCCAAAAAAAAAACATCTCAGACTAACAATCATTAACGTCCTGCATTGCTGCCGTGTTTTGGTTTGACCACTTCTAACTTTTTTTCTAATGAAATTTGGATTCAACTAGCACCACGTATCACGAAAGAAAGTAGCTCGGTATTCGCAAGACATGTCCTAGCCACCTCAATCAACGAAATTTATCGATTATGTTGACCGACTGGTTTTCTTTCCCTAGCAATCTACACAACCAGTCAAGTAGAACAGGGTGAATCGCCGAATTGTACACTCCCTTTGGTAAGTAGCCGAACATCACACCGGCCTCAAAGATGACGACCTTCTTGTATTTGTACTGAGATTTCGTCAGCATTAATTCCATTAGAGGTTCTAAAATGAGTGGAGTTACCTAGATATTGACCAAAATTGTATCCACCAAAACATTTGCGACGAAATTGCACAAAAAAACGGCCAAAATGTGCATTCATGACGAATAACACTGGTTTTCTGTACTTGAGATGGCGAATTTTAAGCTTTTACACATCTGCATAAATTTGAGTAGTGCCCTAAGGTACTAAGCTTTCACTCTACCGTCCTATAATATCAAACACTGTTACAACATCTCTCCGTCTACGCAGCGAAATATGGACAAAATCCAAAAATATGGCAGGTATCAGACTCTCTTAAGTATAAGTGTTTTAGAACATGTGAAAAGGTGGATATTTGATCAACGAACCCTGGTTCAGGCCTGAAACTTGGTTAGTTTCCTCGTGTTTATATCCTCTCAATATCATTAAATCGTCATATAACTGTGGACCCTATGACTTTAGAATCTATGTTACTCAAACTGATTCCTCTGCGATTACCATAGAAAAAACTTGTTTCCCTTCTTGTAAGCTACGATAATCCATTATTTACATTACTTTATGGAAACTGTCTCGAGTTCCCATGCGTCAGCTAGCCTTTTTAATTCCTTTGCATTCCGAGTGAAAGATAAAGCTTCAGTTTTTAAGGAGCGGAGCTGCCAGCCTCATATCGAACCTACCCTCTTCTCTCGACTTACTACCCGTTAGACAAGGTTAAGGAATACGTTATCTTAGAATCAAACCTGGTTGTACCACGTACCTAGTGAGCAGTTACAAGAAATGTTAAGAATGAATTAATTGAAGTCTTCTGTGTGACGTCTGAAAAGCAGCCGCAATGATGTTGATCTATTTATTTTTACCATTAGCATTTTAAAGTTATCATTAGTCTTGTTCTTTTCCTTCTTTTAAGTTCTTTTAGAGACTTTTAACAGACTGTAGCAACGAAAACCAGACATCCGCGGATCCATTCTTGCTTGCAATATTCGCTTAGCTCTGTTTTCCGCTCATATACTGTTGTGGAAATATGAAATCGAACCGCTGCACTGTAGTTCTAAAATTTATATTGTATAATCTCTACCAATTATTTTTCGCACATTTAAATAATCCTAATGCTTTCTCATAGGCAAATATTCTTATTCACTCATTTCATTTTACAAATATCTGGTGTTCAAATATCAGTCTTAGTTATACATAAAATGGTATGGTTTTATTGGTGGTCTAATGACCTCAACTTTTACATTTTATCATATGCATCCTCTTGGAAGTACTACGTTAACTCGACCATGGTTTTCATTTCATAACTTAATGAACAATTATTATATCTTCAAAGTTTCCTTCATTCTACAGTTTTAATGACAGTCACACGTTTGGAATAAAGAAGTCAACAGTCGATTTTACATATATTGTCAAAATTCTTTGAGTTCATAATTAAAGTGGTTTAAAATAAAATAAGAAATATCAAAACCCGTTAAGTTACCTGGATTGTTTCTCCACATCTGCCACAAATCCGTGAGACTAATCAGAGGATCATCACTATTTAGTATGCGGGATTTTTTAACCGCATCAGCGGAATTGAATTCCTTTCTTAGAAACTGAAACCATAAAATATTTTATTTTCTTATCAGTAGGAAAAACGACTATTCGTATTATTCTTTAAGAAATTTCATGCAGAAATCAGAACCAACTATCATAAGAGGCTTACTGAACACTTGTACTTATTAAAAACATTGCTTTTAGCACTGGACTTTATTGTCAGTACCGACAGTGTTACGATAGTTACTCACTAAAGTTAGAAAATTCTCTGCGTAGTGTGTACCGACGAATAGCCATTTCAACATCCATTTTGAATTGACGAAAATTATTAGATATATTCTTGAAGAGACCGCAGTGTATGATTCTTGCAACTAGTCTCCGTACTAGCGAGAACACACAGCATAGAAGGCTCTGATGCCTACGTGGGGGATTATCCACACTATAACAGTTAGTATTCTATTACTTATCGTACTAAGTCCCAGACATACTATTGGTAGTCAATAGGTATAAACGCATGAAGACATAGATAATCTGATAATTTTCAGCTTAAATAAATTTTTACAGGCGCATGGTATTATTTTATACTGAAAGTTAACATATCAAACCATCAAAGGTCAAACTTTAGGAACAACCTTAGATTGTAACATTCAAATCTGGCCTGTCATACCCCTACCTTCACTCACGTATCAGGTAAATATGCTTCTGATTAATTTTAACATATCACCAACACGGATAAGTGGGTCCATATATCCCCACCAGCCCCACAAAAGTATTTCGTACTTCCGTGAGACACCATATTGCTTTTTTCATATTACTTTCTTTTATTTGATCAATCTTTCCTGTGTTTTGCATTATTGAAAAAGTTTTTGTGTTCATTTCTTTGTCTTCACACATTGCTTTTAAATTGAAATTCAAACGTGAGGCGTAGCTATTTCAGCCGCTATGTAGTACAACCAGGGCATCCTGTTCATTTTCATGCGTACACTGGCTTCAAAGTACTAGCAAACTTAGTCCTAAAAAATAAATACCTTTTTGAAAGCCAACAAGGATTATTCCCAGCCGTTATGTGAATGGCTAAAACAAAACTGTTTAACGTCATAAACCTAGCTGCTCCTTTCAGTTGTAATCATAATCGTGAGACTGTACGGGACAGTCTTGTATTGAAAAACTACTAGTAATGCTGAGAGACCCAGCTAGACAGCAAATGTTATTATGTGACATTGACAGTTACGTCGCAGTCATTCACATGACAGCTTAGGATAACGTGGCGTTTGCAGTGAAATGAACTAATTGGCAACTAGGCCTAGTAACTCAAATGGTAAAGCGTGCTCCTGGGATTTGGGGAGCTGAAGTCTTACTTTAAATCAGGCTTTCACTTCATTTTTTAATTACTGCCCACCGAATCAGAAACAATTCGTCAATCCACAATTATCAAAAATAGTCTATTGTATCCACATATGTAGGATAGTCCGTAGTTAGGCACCACTGACAGAATCTTATTTGCTTCCAAGGGCTGAACTAACCTAGAAACTTATTTAAACACTATTTTATACACAAAAATTAAATTCTGAGTCCAAAGGATCTAACAAATTGTATACTTTACCTTCTCTGTCTCAGAATAGTCCACTTCCCCATTTTTATCGCCATCAAGATTCCGATGTATCTCTCCAATCGCTTCAAAAGACAAGATTTTAGTGAAGCAGGACAAAAGTTCATCCGTCGGTTCACATATCTCGCTACCAACCAGCAATGAAAATACTATTCAACAGATATTACTCAAAACTGATTAGCACAACTTACAACACCAGGTAAGTAAAATTCCAATCAAACATCGACGACTCATAGCACGCAAAATATTGACATGAAATAGTATCCAGATGCTAAGAGATTTTCATACAAGCAGTAGGTACAGCTACTGTCATATATGCATGAATATTTCATGTCACACTACTCACCTACAGCAGGAGAATAAGAAGAAAATGATTGGACACTTTAGGCGGCAGCTGGTTAAAAAGATATAATATATTTCTGTACTTTTTACACATTAAGAAAACGGCTGAGATGTCTAAAAATTAAATGTTGCTTCTCATTTTCACAAAATGCGGGCAATGTAAATGCCCTTAGACAGATATCATTTAGTTGCTTATAACAATCTGAAGCGAAAATACATTATGTGAGTTTCCACAGAATTTTGAGTTTTTGACGCCGTCTTCTCGCTATTTTAGGATGTCTTTTTATCCCTGAAGGATTCTTACATACAATATAAACAACTGAATCCTGTCTTCAAGAGTAAGGCCGGTACTAACATGGGCATATATATGTCGATAGTACAGTTCATTGTATAGATTCAGATTCAGATTATAAGGTTATAAGTCTCTTGCTGCCGATGTTAGTCCTCGTGATATATATCTCTGCAGACATTCAGTTTCTCTTTGAAAGCGTTCACCAATGGAGCTGTTACTACTGAATCAGGTAAGGAGTTCCAGTCGTTGACCACTCTGTGAGAGAATCTGAACTACAAACGTATTTTATTCCACCTCGGTTTGAGCACCTTCTTCCGGTGACCCCCTAAATGTATCCTAGAGGGGGAGAAAAGGTTTGAAAGGTCAATCCCTAAATCACCCTTGAATATACGGTAAGCTAAAATTAAGTCGCCTCTCCTCCTTCGGTATGATAATGGGAAGAGATTTAAATGCTCCATCCTCTTATCATAAGGAAGGTGTGAGATACCACTAACTAATTTTGTTCCTACCCTCTGTACTCTTTCCAGGGTTTGTGCCTCCTTTTTGAAGCATGGACTCGCCGCTTGTATGCAGTACTCTAGATGAGGCCTGACATATGTTGCATAGAGTACTTGGAACATACCCTCGTCTAATCGTTTGAAAGCCCTTCGAAAGCCCAAAGCATTCTAAAAGCCTTAGATGCGGCTCGATTACAGTTTACCGTTGTTTCTAAGTCATGGCTAACAATAATTCCTAAGTCCTTTTGTTCCCTAACATCTTGCGGTTCTGTGTCCCCTGTGGAGTACGACGTGTAAGACTTCTGACCTAGGTGCATTAACGCGCTCTTCTTGGAATTAATTTCCAGACTCCAAAGGTTAGCCCATTCGGTTAATTTGTCTAGATCATTTTGTAGTACCAACCTATCATCGCTACTATTTACGGTTTTCCATATCTTAATATCGTCCGCAAATAAAAAGGAAGATGGGGTAAGAATTTTTGGCACTTCATTTACGTATAATAAGAATAGCAGGTGGTCAAATACAGTTCCCTGAGGTACTCCACTTAGTACTGCTTTCCATCCTGACAGTACACCATTAACCCTTACCTTCTGCCTCCTATCCATCAGGTAGTCACTAAACCACTCGCATAAGCGTTGGTCTAATCCAAAACGTTTAAGTTTACTAAGAAGACCTAAGTGGGATACCTTATCGAATGCTTTACTAAGATCGACCCAATCTTCTCTTGCTAACAGTAAGTTTGTCAAGCAGGATCGTCCTGGTCGGAATCCATGCTGTTCCACCGCCAGTAAGCCACGTTTTTCGGTATGAGCTAAGAGCTGGTCCCTTATGAGTTTTTCTAACACCTTTGCTATAATGCAGGTCAGACTTACAGGCCGGTAGTTAGATACTAACTGCCTGTTCCTATCTTTGAAGATGGGGCTTATAAAAGCATCTTTCCAGTCTCTGGGTAACCTGGCCTGGGTCAGAGACATCTGAAAAATCTCCGTAAGTGGAATGTATATTATATCCACCAGGGAGATTAGCAATCTAGGGTGAAGTCCGTCTGGCCCAGGTGATTTACCTGGCTTCAACTTAGACAGTAGTTTCAGAACCATTGCATCATCTACCACAATTGGGAGCATTTTAGGGACTACACCCCTGGGTGGTACGATTAGGCGAGAAAACATCACGGAAATATTCGGAAAGCTCCTCAGCTTTTGTTTCGTCTGATTCTGCAGCCTCTCCTGTGTTGCTAATGAGGGACGGTATGCCACTACTAGTTTTAGTCCTGCGTTTTATATACGAGAACAGTCTTTTTGGATAATGCACACAATCCAGTACTAACTGTCTCTCATACTCTATACGACTTTTGTCAATCTCATACTTGCAAAGGTTTCGAACTTTGCGGTATTCTACCCGAAACTCATCCCTCCCAGTCACAGCAAACCGGTCCCATAAGTTCTTTCGTTTTCTTAGTAACCTCCTTATTTCATTGCTAATCCAAGGTGGCTTATGAGATAATTTTCGAGGCGCAGACCAAGGTACGAAGGGTGCAGTGACGCACTCTAGTGTATTCCTTAATGACATCCAAGCCTCCTCAACAGTCTGGTGTGTATTAACAGACCAGTCAGCTAGGGTTGCTGCATTTCGGATTGCAGGTATATTCGCTTTCCAAACGTTTGGGCGAGCGGCCGTTGACCTATGTATGACGGCCTGGATCCTGAACATAAAAGTAATAACTATGTGGTCACTACTGCCTAGCGGCGCCAGGCACCTAATGTTACCAACATCCTCCTTCTGGTGTGTTAGCACCAAGTCTAGAGTGGACATACAATATCTATACCACTGCATGCTGTCACTATGTTGAACGCAATAAAAGGGGCAACTTTACTTTATTTTAAATGGAATTTGTGGTTTGTGCCGGACTAGGAGTTGTTGAAAACGCTTTTGTTCACATTTCATAAGCGTCATATGAGTTACCATTCCAAGGATTTTTACTGCTGTCCTAGGAACACTGGTAGGATAGTAGTCTGAAAATAATCAGCCACTCCGCGTAGTGGCTCAGAGGTATCATTACCTCCTATCGATTATAGCATGATATTCCCACACACTGAAACAGCAGTGAGTCAGATTTATACTTTGATGGGACTCTCTACTAAAGAGCCTTGAATGCAGTTTCTGTATCGTATAGACTTATCAGAGAGTTAATGCAATTAGTATGCTCCCTTGCAGGCTGGTTGTTGTGCTTCGTCAGTCATACTCAAGATCCGTTTATAAATGCTACGACTTACTTTGACCTGCGTTGGGAAATGTGCTGAACATTTTTAGGGAAATGTGCAGTGCGTCTACAAGATTTAAAGAGCATTTCGGGAGGCAAACTTAATAACTGTCCTGACGGGGTATGTAAGTCCTGATTTCGTGAAAACTTCTTTATTGTTGCGACAAAAGTATCATCTCTCTCTCCTAAATTTTTTAGAAGCTGCTCAGTATCTTTATTCAAATTTATGACTTTTAATTTTGTTGTGGCTTTCTAACAAGTAGAAAGGTGCTAACTCACATCGGAAGTGTATATCAATGCCTGCATCTGAGCATTCTTTGAGGACAGCGGTGATATAAACCGTGGCCACATGTTGAATGCCGAAACACTAGAATAGGGTAATGACAGAATAGTTGATGTAGACGAGTCACCGCTGTTTTTTCGAAGAATCTAGCTTTCCATTTCAGTAGAGTTTCCTAAATTTGGAACTCTCAATTACCCCTCAAGTTTTAACTTCTTGGCCAATTAACTGTATCCATTGCACGAGCTATTCAGAGGGAAATAAAATGCACTATCACACACGTCAACACTAGTACAATCAACCAAAGATTCAGATAAAACTAGATTACCATTAAAGCTCCTGACATTCTAGTTGCAGTTATTCTCAGTTTACAGGTATTTTGATATCCTAATACACCAGACATTTCTAACTAGGATGTACATGACCACTCCAAAGGCGTGAAGCATCCCAAACAAAATAATCTGATCAGATATGAAACGGTCGAAGAAGTCTATGTTGTATCCAAAAAACAGATAACTGGTTCCGGGAATGAGGAATCTGGCTTCAACAAAAGATGGTGGCTTTTTGATTGGACACTAGTAACAAGTGTGACGTGTCTAGTCCTTCCTAAGAGTACTAAGAATAGGAACACTAAAGACATTGAAAGATCGTTTTGACTAAAATATAAGTAAAACCTCTTAGTTGACGATTATTCGGCTGGGCGAAATCCTGGCAGATTTTAAGGGTGTGAATTCAAACAAATGATATACTACAGTTCAAGATGAACAAAAAATTGCTTAATTTACATAAGGAAATGACGAGTGATTTGTGAAAGTTGATACTAGTATTTGATAGTACACTGCCATTTGTAACAAGAAAAATGTTGCTTTTCGTTTCAGTATAACTCGTCATAACCTTGTCCATGTTTGTAACCTATACGCTTGTCACACCGACCTTTTAAATAATGACATATCTTGTAAGAACTTCTGAAACCTTCATTTTTGATGTGTTACCTGCTCTCACTGTTTTCACTGAAACCATGACTAAAATTAAGTGATAGCTGATTGTCGTAGAAAAGATGTTTCCAGTCCCCTGAGCACATTTTTCTTTACTGGTAAGTCCGAGGGAAAGTACACGGTTGGCCTTAAAGGTCTCACAACGCATATTACAACTGTTAACTAACTTATTTCACTCAAAAGACGTTCAGCTGGTTCACTCACTGTCCTTAAAGTGAAATATTAACTATTACATGATAAATTAGCATACATAGACTGGCATTTGGACAACACATGTGGCTACCTCCTTAGAGTATTACATCCAAACTTCTGGCCAGAATACCTGGAAATTTCCAAACAATGAATAAGAATACTTGTATTCATATTTATCCAAAGATTTTCCAGGCAAATAACTTGTAATTACTGCCATAAATGAGCATCCTTAGTTTAAAGTGCACACGGAGCGTTTCTACCTCTTATCAGCGGTAATACTTCACAAAATCCATCATTCTGTTTTTGAGTAGTTCTAGAAGCATCGCTGGTAACTAAGAATGTCACCTTTTGAGATTTCCGTAAAGCAGTCTTGGACAGGACGACGTATTACTTTGTATGATGCTGCTGCTCGTTTCACTAAATCGAAGCAGTTCTACTATTCTCATAATCTTTTGAATCTCTTGGTGGTTTAGGCGTCGAAGTAACAAC